ACTATTAGTCTGTGGAGTGTGAATTGTTATCTTCAGTAATTTGATAGTAACTATCACTGATAAAACACAACTTTGATAACAAATTTTATTATCCCTTGAACTAATACAATCGATTATAAATTATTCTATAGATTGCTCACTTGCCCGTTTTACGATGGCGTAAAATAAAACTCTCGATAGATGGCTATATGATTATTATTACAATATAAAATTAAATAAATTTGTAAATTATAATTTTGTTAATCCTTATAAAGGCTGACGGCGAGCGGCTACCTGCTTATGACCGTGGTAGAATATTTTTGATCGTACTGATAACGAACAAAGCTCAAAAGCGTAATAATTATACAATATGTTACTTTACGGTAAACATTTCTTATCGCATTCTCATTTCATGAATTTTATAATATTATCGGTTAGTTCAATCAAAGAAGAAAAAGGGGGGAGTACTTAAGAAAAATTCCGAATTCGATGCAACTTTTGGATGTTATTGTGGATGTCCGTGCAGTAGTGCTACACCTCTTTTTATTTTCATAAACTTGATGATTTTGAATAATTGTAAGAGAAAAAACGGACTGATATTGGGGTGGGTGCAGCCATTATTATAAATGGGCAGTTAGGAAGGTAGGATACATAAGTTTATTTAATTTATATCTGTAATCAACGATAAACGATAACACCATAGGCGTGCGCAGACTTTAAGTTCGGGCCGTGCTCGAGAAAAATGAACTATTTTATTGTGTGAATGGGAGGCTGACCATCCCCCAACAAACTTTTATTACCTTTTGATACTAGATAACATAAAATAATAATTCATTCTATACACCATCTTTAAATTCGTTTTTATAATTAAATATCATACACTCCAAAAAAGTAAAAGTAATAAATGTTTCTTTGTAATCTTTAATGGATAATCATAGTCTATAAATAAATAATTTGGGTAATTTCAATCAAGCCAGTGTAATATTTGGTAACACAGTCGTAAAAGATAAGAAGGCGATTGGTAGTGAAATCGAAATTTATGAAATAAATTTTAAATTAAGAAAAACAAAAAGTGATATCATATCACATAACACCGAACGTTCATATAAATAATGGTAATGAGTACCAAAAATTCGAATTATTTCATAATAATACTATTATTGTTTTTGCTAATTCGACAATTTTTGAAAATTACTTGGCCGCAGTCTCGGATTGAACGGGCGAGCTACCAAGAATATCTTGGTGACACAAAATTATCTATATTTTTTATTGAATGTTAATTAACCAAATGGTTAATTAATTCGACATTCCCTAGATAATGCAAATTTATGTTTCATCCTTAAATTATAATCATAAGCTGTTTTACGCTTAAATCATATTGTTTGGATAATTGTTCAACGATTTTTCGACATAAGGTTGTTTGTTCAAAAACGATCAACGTGTAATCCATTTAATCGAAAATTTTACAAATATCTAAAGTTGGCCATTTAGTTTGTAATTATTGTAATATTAGATCCATTTTTCAGTTATTATTAATTATTCGCTATTTCCTTGCACGTTGTATAATATTTTTTTTGAAAATTAGATTTCAATGTGTCATTGATTATAAATAATAGTACATTAGTGTATTATATATACGTATATATAATATGAATAATATGAATTTCATGATTTTCGTTAATTTACATAATTTAAAGTTATGGTATTTGTATAGCCGGCCGGGACTGGAGCAGATAACATATACAATATATTTTGTTGTCTTATTGCTTTTTATAGTATAAGAAGAAATAATAACATTATACCTAAGATTCCATACAGACTAGATTTATTTTTCGAATATTTTCAATGTTGTATCGTGTATTTGTTTCGTATAGTATAATAAGGGTGATTTATCATGAAAACGAAATTTGAAACAATTATCAAAAAGAACAACAAGACGTAATAACTGTACATTTTTGCTAAAAGAAAATTATGATTTTTTTCATAAATGAAGTAAAACAGTTATTAAAAAAGTAAAAAAAAAAAAAAAAAGTCCATGAGATATTGGTTAGTACAGTGGAAGTACTAATAATGATTTTACATAAATCAATTAAATCGTTATTGTTAGTTTATAAAATATCTACATCATATATAGAATAACTAGTTATAGTATGTATTTTTTTTATTTTTTTCAATACATCAACTGAAAATGTATTAACGCTAAGACATATATATTTAACATATAATTAGTTTCAATGTTATATTGAGTAGGTACTTTAAATTATGTAATAGATAAATTTGTTATATTTTTTTTTTTTTTTTATAATGAGCGTTTATTTATATAAAGTGTTAAGTGAATAGTTTCTTTATATTCATTGTGGTTTTTGATGATTAAAATTTACAAGTATCAAAAGTCTATAATATTTTGAATAGACTATGCATTTAACGTCTTATCCTATAATAACGGCTTTTCTTAAACTAGCTACACTCCGAATCTAAAAAATTAATTACATTACATTCTCCTTTTTTTTCTTTTTTTTAGTACTTTTACTATACCATTTATTGTATCTACCTAAACTTGTATTGGAAATCTATCTATATAATATTTATCTTATTTCTGATTTATTGCTTGGAAAACCTATAATATTTATATTTCTATTGGGAATCTATTAATTTGTATATATTGGATATTATATTTGATACAAAATAACAAGTATTGTAGAATTTTTAATCGCAGTAAGTCATAACACTTAACCTAACCTAACATACGAAAAAAATCGTTTTTAACAAAATATTTTTAAACGTCCTGTATTTTTTGTCAACTTAAATAAATAAGCATAATAAATATTTACGTTTTTTTTACAATTATTAAAATGTACGTATTAATTTATAACGAGGTCTTTTTTTTCCTAGTACCATGTGCAGAGTTATAGAGTGTTTGCAACTAACGGTTATCTGTACATGAAAATGAATTTGGCAACGTCGCTTCCATTTACCTAAGCTTACCGCCCGTAGACAAGAGGTCGAAATCATTATCTTTGAAATTCCGATAACGCACGTAGGTACCTACTCGTATTGTGATTGCACCTGGTCGGTCAAAGCTACCCTAGGTATAAAACCGGTTTTCGAGGGTGCGACCGTACGACTTGATCGATTTGTGTTACAGGTACCTAACAAACCTCAAGTGAAATTTGAAAAATATTTAGAGTGGAAAAAAAAAAACCATTATTATTTTGAAACTGTGGTGTATGTTGCCATTAGGGCGGTAGCGATGATTTCCAAAATGTGGAAAGCTCCCAGACGATTTATAACCAATGATAATAATGATAGATAATTTTGTTTTAATTTATTTAGTTCTGATTTCCACAAAAATCGTATGATGTCCCAATCTAATAGGTAGGGTAGGTAAGGTAGGTAGGTAGGGTAGGTATACGGGAGACCCTATTTCGGAACTCGTGACAACAGAGAATAACGGAGAATCAAAACTATGCCGCCTACTATATACTTGTATATTGCTATATCTGTTGCGCTTGCCGCAACTTTTTCATACAAATATTTAATAACTCGTCCAGAAAACATTTTTTTTTCAAATCTTGGGGATTATTTCTTGCGTCCTTATTTTTAAATTTTTATTTTTACAAATGACGAGTGTAAATATTTGTACATTCTTTATTATTTAAAGATATTTTAGGTTTAAAAAAATGTGTATAAACTTAATAATTCATCATCAGTTGTGAGATTAAAAGTAATAATATACATAAATTAACTACCTATTATGGTAATTCAGTTTTTTAAATGTTTGAGTATACTAGTGAAATAGTTACAATAAGGGCTCATTCGATTTTAGAACGGTAAAATTGGTTTAAATATATTCTAATTTTAATGCACATTCATACCTATTTTTGTAATCAAAATAATATTGTCATCTATTACATGAAATAATTATATTATTTTGAATATCTCTTACATGAAATATACCACACTTTCATATGAAATTAATGATTTTACTGCGGACCGTTAATTTGCATTCCTTGTGTTTTGTAAACACGGGCCATATTATGGTAACGGAAAAAATAGGGTCGCCAAAAAACACTTTGCATCCCTCCCCCTGAATGACGCCCTTGGGACGGGTGTGCCATTATTGTAGTTAGCAAGTTGAGGAATTATCTAATTTATATCTGTTTAGAACGTCAAACCATTACTAGCGAAAAACGATTCGGAACGATATTCAGTAATACCTACATGATTTGAAAGATCGTAATATTTACAGTTTTCTTCAAAATTCGATTTTAAAATTTTTATAAAAGAAAAAATACTACATTATACTCATTTTTTGTTTTTTTATTACGTCTAGAGACAGCCCACGAGCAAATTCCTTATCAATTATAATATTTCATAATTATGCATAATTTATGACTTTTTTTGTATATGTATAAAGAGACTTTTTTTTCGTTCAAGTCATCTATTATTTGTTTTCTTACATTTTATTTTGGTTTATTTAATCGTTGTTCTTCTGGTATTTTTAAACAAAGTTTTTTAGATGAAAAAGATCGAAACTGTTTTTTAACATTTTTATTAGCTTGCATTTTCATTTAATGAAAAAAAAACGTTTGATTCTTGTTCATATAGCAATTTAAATTTAAGTCTAAGGATAAATTAATTAATTTTATGTAGCGATTCATTGTTTAATATATCTGCTTGTGACACAAACATGCTTTGAAATTGCTAAATTTTGTTTGCAATGCTAACAGCAGTTATTTGCTGCATATCAGACACTTTCATATAAATTTCATCTGTATCCATTGAGTTAGTATAATCATTTTTTGCGTTTATGTCATTGTCATCTGATATATTAATTTTCATAGCATGGATATGTTTACACATATTATTTTATATAGTGTAGTCGTAACATGTATATGAGAATAAAATAATGTACATAAACTCGTGTGCGGGTTATTTGATAAAAAAATATTATATTATAATTGATAAGGAATACGCTCGTGAAAATTTCACTGCATTCCGGTTTCTTTTATCGTTCGTTATTATGAGATCTTGACCTTCGTTTCTTGAGCCGTCATTGGCGGACCTTCTACCCTTGCAGTATACCAACTGTATGCCCCTCCCACTTTTAAACCGGAATATTTGTTTACGATCATGGTCATCTTATTCCAAGGCAGTTTCTTGTTCCATTCGTTAGTGTACGGTTGTGCCCATCTATACATAACCATCAAATCCACTATTCGACAAAAAGAAAAAAGGTAATATATTATATTATATAAATACTCTATAGATGTTTACTCGATTAGGCCTTAACAGTTTTGGATAAAACAAATAAATAAATAATTATTATTTAATTTTAAAATACGTTTATTAAACTAAATTTAAGTTGAATAAAAAAAATAAATAGCCTAACTATACGTTACATATTATATTATTTCATATCGGACCATAATATTTGCCGTAGCATTATGGTAAATTGGTAAAAGTGTGTAAATTGCACAGGTAGCAAGATTTTTAGTTTAGGTTGGGCGGTCTGCGCATTCGGAGTACTCGTGTGCATTCCATCCCAACTTTATTACTACTGTGTTTCCCTCTCTAACCAAAATGTCGATGTTTGTGTACCATCCTTGACATATTAATCCGAGACAGTTTAAAAATTCGTGGCAACCCTCAGTCATTCGGTCCATTCTTTCGATTATTCGGTGGATACCGATAATGTAATAATTCGTTCCCGATTCTACCAAATCAACCAGACATCAGCTCAACAACGAAATCGAAAACCGGTATTTAACTGGTGCTACTATCGAGTAGATAAATTTAAAAACGAATAAGTATAATATAATGAATTATATTCGAGAGGGTAATAGCAATTACAGTATTAAGGGGCGTAAATAAGTTACCGATTTCAAAACGGGTATATTCCGTGCACTCATTTTGTTTTACATACACAATATTTTTCTTTTTACTTTTACGAGAATGTACGTTACACATTATTATATCTTAAACCAGATAATAATTTCTATCGCTGCATTTAGTTTTGCGTTTATTTCGGGTACGGCAGACCTACACAAAATATTATACATTTTATGAAATATACGGCGGGCGTCCCAATCTAATAGGTAGGGTAGTTAGGGTAGGTATTCGGAAGACCCTATTTCGGAACTCGTGACAACAGAGAATTACGGAGAAATAAAACTGTGCCGCCAACTATATACATGTATATTGCTATGTCTGTTGTGCTTGCCGCACCTTTTTCATACAAATATTTAATAACTCGTCCAGAAAACATTTTTTTTTAAATCTTGGGGATTATTTCTTGTGTCCTTATTTTTAAATTTTTATTCTTACGAATACCGAGTGTAAATATGTGTACATTTTTTTATTATTTAAAGGTGTTTTAGATTTACGATAATTCGATTAGTTTTCGTTATCATTTCTAAATAATATTCATTTTTCGTTCTATTTTCAAGAAAAAGTACCATTTTTCCACGGTATTATTCGTATTGCACAATTTTTATCAGTTATTTTAATTATTTATTAGAATTGAAAACTTAAAAAGGAATTAAATTGATTAAATCTTTGAAAAATGTGTATAAACTTAATGATTCATCATCAGTTGTGAGATTTACAGTAAAACTGTACATAAATTAACTACCTATTATGGTAATTCAGTTTTTTAAATGTTTCAGTATGTTTGTGAAATAGTTACAATAAGGGCTCATTCGATTTTTAGAACGGTAAAATTGTTTTATACATTATTATTTTTAGGTGTAAAACCTTTTTTTTTTGAAAACTTTTTCAAACGGCAACTATATTAAATAAATTTATTTTGGTATGGACATTTTTGATTTCTGTCAATCCGTTGACGCGATATTTCATTTTTCATTTTGATACGGGGGAAAGTAGTGTTGCATTTTTTGTTTGACATAGTGGCATGACGCGTCATGGTTACGTTAAGCGGACTTTAAAGACTGCGCAAAATGTCACAGTATTTTACTACTCACTATATTATTACCACGCTAGGTATAAATCGTCTGCAGGAAAAATCTTTTTGAAGACTCATTTTCAATGTTATTAAAAAATATAATATTAAATTTTATTCTACTGATCTACACATCTAAATAATTAGTATAGCTGGTTCCGTAGAGTGTATTTTTGTCGATAAAACCACTATGACACCGGGATGTCTTCCTTAATGACGTTAATTTGGACATAATTTTGTAGTATTCGAAATAATTAAAAATACATCTACCTATAATAATTATTATAGAGAATTGATAAAAATTTAATTTGAAAAAACTTAATTTATTTTAAAATTTAAATTTACAAAAAAGACACCGCCTGAATGAAGGCAAAATGTTTTTTTAATTTTAAAATAAGTAATTTCTTTTGGTGCGTTTTCGGTATAAACTGTATACGTTTTTAGGCATTATAGATATTTTAAAGGTTGTTATAACATTTATGAACTACCTAATAATTAATATTATTAAACCCCGAGTAATTTTGTAATTCATCAATTCGTTATTTATTTTACCAAATTCAAACTGTGGAACTAACATTTCCGTTTTCCAAATTTCCAAAATTATTTTAATAACTTGCTCTCCGAATTCACTGTAGATCTTTTCTTTTTCATTTAAAATTTTGTTGTTCATTTTTAACATATCACCAATGTTTTGTTATTTCAAGTAATCATTGGGTTTATAAGTGAGTTAAGTGATAAAAAATATAGAAATATCATCACTGAGTTATTGAAGTAGGTACTAATTAACAATTATAAATACTAAAATGTGTATCTACATATTTGTTTATAGTAATGTTTTTTGATTATTGATACTTATTGGAATCATTATTACTGCCGTTCTGTACCCATGTATACACTTTATAATAACATTTATTTTTCATTTATATGTACTTTTTAGAAAATATTGTGTTTGCAACTGGTAGGTATTAATAATAACAATAGTGCACTAACATATTTGATAAAATTTGTATTTTATAGAAATTTAATATTAAACCTTAAGAATCATGATATATAAATATTATATGCATTCATAATAAAAGTTTTTTTTTTTTTTTACAGCAGTTTCATATTAGAAACACAATGAAATCCAAAATTTCAAGCCATTTGATGCAACAGAAAACATTTTTTAAAATAGGAGATATCTTGTGGGCAAAAATTGGAAAATATCCATTTTGGCCCTGTATACTATGCTATGATCCTTATTCCAATAAATTTATCAGAGAATATAGTAAGTTTTTCATGGTATATTTAATAAAGTAATTGATTTTGAATGTTCATAATTTTGACTATTAATAAGAATTTTAAAATTTGTATAATATACATATAAATAATAAGCCACCTACTATGTTTCCTTCATGGTTATCTACTCAGGTTGTATTCAGATTTTAATTATAATAATTCATAACAAAATCATTTTTAATAAGTGCTCATCAGTTTTTATAAAATACCAATTATCAATTTTTGAAAATATAACCGTTTATTAAATAAAATATTGAAATTACAAATAGGTATATCTTTCTTGTATAAAAGTAGGCTTTCTGATCATTAGCACGATTAATTCAATCTGGTGCTGTATAGCCACCAACCCGAGTAGATTACTTTCTATCTCCATTGTAGCTACAAAAAAAAATAAAAAGTAAAATATAATTATTGTGATGCTTGGAATCAAATTAAATTTTTTGGTTTTAGTATTATATTGATAACAAATTAAGTACCTAAATAGATTGTTTATTCACACTCAAAGCTTGCCTTTGATAATTTTCAACCCATATTTGGATATTTTGTATACATGCATACATTTAATTTTGGTTCGACAGATTTAATTGATAGGCATTATTGAGTACAATAAAATTAGCATAGTTTAATAATTGCTCAATTTTAATTTGGTAGAATTATTTTATTAAAAAATTAAAAATAATTCAGCATAATATTTTTGGACATAATTCTAGTATAGTTCTTGAATGATTTTTTGGTATTTTATTTCTTCACATTTTTTTGTGTGTATATTAGTAATGTAATGGGGAGAAGGGGAATCCTAAAAAATTTCGGTTTTCTTAATAGCATATTTCTTAGATAGAATTTAATAGTCTACAACAAAATTTCCTAAATGTGTGGTTTTCAATGCTCAATCCATTGGTTTAATCAAAACTTACTTATCATAAGTTGTATTGTTGAAGATTAAATAAGTTTATCTGGCTTCATTTTAAGCATGATACAATTAATTGTATACCACACACATTCATACAACTTAACATACTACAAGTTGTACTACTCATTATTTTTATAATTTTTAATTTTTATTGGTAGGAACATAATAATCTTTATTAAATCGATCAAACCTTTAATGAATATAAGCCCACACAATACACATGTTATGATATGTCTTATGACAAAATTGTACAATAGATTTTATGCACATTCAATCATACACTTCATCTTATCCTAAAGTTGTACAATCTGTCTTACAAATTATTATATCCTTTATGAGGTGACTAAGTTGAATATAATTAATCTGTCTTCAACAATAAAGCTTTGTTATTAAAAACTAAAAAAACACTAAAAATGTTAATTTATGTTCTCATTTTGGATTAATTCCAAAAATATTATTTTCAAAATTTATGTGCAACAATTATAAAAGTAATTATGATAGGTTAGTAAGTTTTGATTAAACCAATGGATAGAACTGAAGCATTAAAAACCATATAATTACTAAAACTAACTAAGACATTTTTAATTTACTAACACTCATTTTGAGAAAAAAAAATGCTTAAGAGCTAAACTGTTATTATTTCTATATTTATAATGAGCATAAGTAATAAAATTCAACAGTAAAATAAATCTATACCTGATATTATTTTTTTTTTTATGATTATTCAATACGGTAATATTATAATGTAGATATTATTTTAGTTTTTAATGAGATGTTTTTGTTATTATCATAATGTTACAACAAGATCCTTAAAGTAAATTGTTTTTTTTTCAGAAGAAAATAATAAAACCTTGCTCCAATTACATGTAAGATTTTTAAATGATTGTGGTAGGAGGAGCTGGGTCAAAAACATTTATATATTTTCTGAAGACCAAAATGTACTATCAAAATATCCTCAATATTTAGTGAGTATCAAATACAAAAATTATCTAAATTTTAAATAGAAAAAATTATTTTACATTGCATAATATGTTTTAGTCATATTTCCAAAAAAAAAATGCATTATTTAAGATCTGGACATTGGCCATTGAAGAGGCACAAAAACTATTAAAATTAAATCGGTAACATTTTTGATTATATTTTCTGTAGAATTCAAATGATATACTTATCAGATTAAATCAAAATATATCTTATGCACATGTATCATTTTTCAGAGAGAAAAGGATGACGATATTTGAAAAAACATATACTGTATGTCAAAATAGTTGTAATTTATAAAAATATTTTGAATAGAATTAATGCTGTTATTTTTTATTACTTTTAGCATACAACAAATTCAAGGAAACATATTGGTTCTAATGGACGTAAGCCACAGAATATATCTGTAGATGATTGTCTAAACAGTAAGTCTACAAAAACTTATCTACTTAAAAGTTTACTAATTGATAAATATGATTTATCTGATTCAATAGAGAGACTAAAGATAACTTCTATTCTTACCGATTCTTTGCAATCTATGGAAACAAAACTTAAAAAAAGGTACGATATATTTATAACCAACCTGAACTGTTATATGCTATTTAATTGTTTTCTATTTTTGCATATTTATTTAAATTCTTTATCTGATTAAATACAATATTCATATACATGAATATTTCTTATGTAGGTATTAAAATTTTAACTTAAGAACAACAGTTTATTTTATCATATTTTAATTCTATTAAATAATGCATTTGAAGTTTACACAGAAAAACAGAGCTAATATAAGATGGGGACAGGTTGTTGTAGATGGGAAGTTGGGAAAGTAGGATGCATTAATTTATTTAATTTATATCTGTAAGCAACAATAAACCAGTGTTAACAAAAAATATTTATTTTTTTTTTTTTACCACTTATGATGAAGGGTTAAAATTTTCATAAATTTGTGTTTAGTCTAACAATTTTATTTAATGACTTCTCTAAAGTACAACACCAGTCAGATTTCCTTTTACAAATTGCTATCATTAAAATTTGGAGAAAAATTGTGCACAGGAAAAAAATAGTAATATTTTAGTAATATATTTCGTATATTTACCCGTTTTTTTGGGTTTTTCAATTTTATGAGAAAACTCTTGAGAAAATCGAAAAATAACCTATGTAGTGCATCCACTAGGTAAAATTGTCCTATTCAAAGAAATCCATTCACTCTATATGTCAGAGGAAGATTTCTTTTTGAAAAGTTGTTTGCTGACACAAAAAAAAATCATAGTAAAACAAATAGATCCCTACACTCATTGTACAATCATTGATTAATTTAAAATCTGTATTATATTTCCTCTAGTTTAAAAACACAAGAAGCAAAAGGAATACCTAATTTTTTTTTATTTGTATTATCATCATTTTATTTTATTTTAGAAAAATTGAACAAATTCAAGCACACAATAATTGCATTTCTATGGTAAATAAATAAATTTCTTAAGAGCACCAGATTAGTTTTTTACAATTTTTTTTTCTCATTAAAGGAGCCTCCCAAATTTATTCCAATCAAGATTAACAACCCTTGTGGCAATGTAAAAATTAAGGACGTTGATGATGATGATGTTTTTAATCCATGTAATTGTGATCCAAACCAGCCTGATCCATGTGGTCCAAAATCTAGTTGTTTAAATAGGTATTTTATCACTATTATTATTATTATTATTTTTTTTTTTTTGATATTATATTAAATTTTGAATTATCTTGTAGAGTACTTATGTTTGAATGTGATCCAGAACTATGCCCTGCTGGTGACAAATGCAATAATCAACAATTTAAAAAACAATTGTACCCAACATTAACTCCATTTTTAACAAGAAACAGGGGCTGGGGTCTTAAAACTTTGGATATTATAAAAAAAGGTTTGAATTTTTAAAATTCTACTTAGAAATATAATTTGGTAGATTAATCATTATAACTTTAGGAACATTTATAATTGAATATGTTGGCGATCTTCTTGATAGAGAAGAATTTAATAAAAGAATGGAAGCAATAATCAAAGAGAGAAATGAAAACCATTATTTTTTTCACATAAGTAATTCTAGAATAATCGATGCTGGAAGTAGAGGAAATTTGTCAAGGTAAAATTAATTTTAATGAATCAATAGATATAAAGATAATTAGTATACAGTACAGAGTAATTCAAATTTAATGATTTTTTTTTTAGCGGTTCTTAGTTAATTTAAAACAATTGAATTATAATTTGTATATTAAATATTTTGATTTCATATTTTATTAATGTTAAATACATCAATCTAAAAACTTGAGTAAACTGTTTATTTTTATTGTTTATTTAATTTCTTAGACAAATAATTGTAATAAATATAAATATTAAAGTAATATTAACAATGCAATTAGACTATAAGCAATGATTAATGATTTTATTTATTTAGCTTAATAAATATTTATTATGTATTGTTTTATTATGAATTATGATATAACACTGAAAATTTTGTATTAATATAATTTATACTTTTTTTTTTTATATATATATATATAGATTTATGAACCATTCATGTGATCCAAATTGTGAAGCATACAAATGGGTAATCAAAGGTGAAACTCGAGTTGGAATTTTTGCTTTACATGACATTTCTGTTGGTACTGAACTAGTGTTTGATTATAATTTTCAAAACGTCAAAGGAGTAACTAAAATGCCTTGCCAATGTGGAGCTGATAAATGTTCTAAATTTATTGGGGTTTAAATCCTGATTGAGAATCAATAAATAAATTGACTTTTGATTTAAAATAAAAATAAATTATTACCTTTTTACTTTTTTCATTTATATGTAATTTAATATTTATTGTAAACAATTAAAATTATTAGTTTTTATCTAGATGTACTAGCTTTGTGTATAGCCTACTAATAAACTTGTAAAAAAAAAAAACAAATGTGTTATAATATTTTATAAATTGAACCAAATGAACATCATGTTTGGTAAATGTTTGCTATACTCAAGACACACTCCACTCTAACAGTGAATAGATTTTTTAAACCACAATATTTCTTATAAAGCTGCGTTTTCTGCCCTAGTGTTTCTGTAATTAGCAATTGGAAACTGTCAAATGTTGTAATAGAGGGGAAGATGTTATAAAAGTCAATTGCTAGCAATTGCATTTTAACATTGCTCCGAATATAAATAACTACAATATTACATTGGGTTACTTAACAACTACTCAAGAATAGTTTTTTAAAATTCAAAATTCATCATTAAACCTATTAAATGGCACTTTGTAACCTTCATATTGATAATTTGCATAATATTTGTAGGTATAATAATTATATCAAATAGTTTGATATGGAAAGTGTTTATTAAGTACTACAAAGTAGTACACAGTAGTCCGAGTAGATACTGTTCTAATAAATATTACAGCAGTAGCCCTGATGGTTACTGTGAGTGTGAGTATGATAGGAATATATTGATAACATTTTATAAGTAATTACAAATTTCTGTACAATAATTTGTTTTGTTTTATATTTTGCACAATTTATGAGTTATAAAATCAAAAAAAGAATTGTTATTAATTGTCACATATATTTTTGTCTGGGTTATTTTGCTTTTGAAGTAAATACATCCCAATAGATAATTTAGGACATAAACCTATATTTCAATGTGCGCTATAAATCTAATTACCTAAACTATTTTCAATTATTCTGTGTAACAAAATTAAAATAATGATAAACACTTTCAATTAAAAACTGTACCAAGTACCTAATACATAGGTATAATTTAAATAGGTAGGTAGATATCATTGTCAGCAATATGCTAATATCAATAACATCTTCAGAAATGATCATTAAAACTAAATAAAAAATACCTAAAATATACATTTTATTCAACATGTATTATTGCTATGTAATTAATGTTCTCATGTCATACATTTCTTGTATGATAAATTATTATAATGCATTTTTTATGTATCAAAAATATAATTATATTAGTTTAGTATTACACATTTTTAATGATAAATGATAAGAAAAATGTTGGGAAAAAAGTTAACCTAGGCCCTGATGAGGCCCCAACAGGGCATCATAGTCTTTATTGAGACATGGTAAATTATAGTATTTTTTTTCTTTCTATATCATCCCCAACCCACAGTTTAGACTTGCTCAAATACCTCTTAAGTAATGAGTTTTAGAACCTGATAAGTAACTACAAAAGTTTAGTACATCAGTACAAAATGTAAAGTGTTTAGCTTGAAATATCAGAGTACTATAGAGAAATATGTTCCTATGAACGGGCTTTAAAAAGTAAATACATCTCTGGGCCTGTCACTCAACAAAAACGTTAGGTAGCTACCGATATTTCGGTCGCCCAATATTTGTTCTGCAAACCAAATGCACACTTATATAACTATTTTATTATTATATTATTTTTATAATATTTTATTAACGAAAAATTTATTAATGAACATTTTCCTTCCTTCTTAACATATTACAGGTACCTACGGTCCATAGAATTTATAACGAAAAAAATTAAAAACTTGGAATACTGGTACTAATTATCAAGGGGTCCTAAAAGTACTTCAAATGTTCTTATAGTTTTCAATAAATTTTCATTCGTTAACTCGTTATATTTAAATATCATTAAAACAAATAAATAAAAAATCATAATAGCAATCAAGATTAACATAAAATATAAATACATAATCAAAGCGGGTAGGTATATAGTAATATAAACATACGTATAATTTATGAACACAATTTTTATTACATTTTATTATATTATAATTTAAAATTTGCCAAATTGTAATTATTTTGTTTAAGAAGCTCTTACATTTTTTGTTTTCCTGCAATGCCTTTTTATTCTTTTTCATGAAATGTTATGCGTTAAAATATTGTACATGTTTTATATGATCCAACTTACGTATGGATGTATTTTATTTGTATACTTTAGAAAACCTTGAGTGCTCCTCTGGAGCCACAGTTCTCATTGACAATATTGAGCTAGAGCTCAGCTCCCAAAGACCTTACTGATAAAAAATATCTTCCGTAGTTTTTCACATCTTTAACAACATCGCAGGAAATCGCCTAAATTGATTGATGAGTACCATTATCAAGGGACTTGTCGATGGATATTTCATTAAAAAAGGGCAAAACCGAACACTTAACGTACAAACCCACACAAGTGTACGTAATCTATGTTGTATGTATTATTGTTGTTTGAAATGTTTTACACATAACTGTTTAAAACGTTCAAAATTGAAAATTGAACCGACATATGTTATGAAGAGTGACGATATTTATATAGTTCATACATTCATTCTGGAAATTTAATTAAAAATCACAGTGCCTATTACTATGAGGAAAGGCCTGTTAATAAATTGATAAGGTTATAATTATTTAACTGTTATGGTTGTTATTGTTGTACGTCCGGCATAATATAGCGTTCAACGAAAAGACGAAATAATATGACGTAGTTTTGATTTTCGTAACATACCTATCACAAACGTATCGAACAGTACATTAATTCTCAAAAAAATCTCCCGTAAACTACGTGTAAAACCTTCGCTAAGAAAGAAAAAAAACCTCAAGTCAGAAAAGTTGTGATAATGTATCGTACCTAATTATTTTTTTTTTTGTATTTAAAATTTTTTTTTAAAAATAACATAGCATATAATGTTTAAATTTCATTAGATTTTTGTAAAATAAAAACCGATTTTCAATATTATGTTTCAAACATTATAATATTGATAACTAACAAAAAATAAAACTTAATAATTTTCGAATATTCATCCAAAGTTTAACAACCAACTGTCTTTAACTGTCTTTATGGTTATTTAGGGCCTTTGTAATTATAATTTAAAATTATTTCCCCATGATATAGTTTCTAAATTAAAAGATACGGATATGTATTTCACGTTATAAGAGAAATAGGATATGATTTAGATTATTGGACATTATGACGATTAAATTTATATCCATGCGGATATCGTTAAATCATTGGTAACAAAAAATTGTATAAAATCAAAAACGGTTGATGAGTTATAAATCCGTTCGGCGTTCCATGGATTTATAATTTATAAACGTTTATAATACTAATTGTTAAACGTAGATATTATCTATATTATACAACACAGTGTTTGGAAAAAATAAGTAGTCGTAGTCATAGTCGAATACGATAGGACGGGGGATGCAATTTTTCCTGGAACGCATTGAGGAATTATAAAGTATAGTGAATAATTTACTTTTAGAATGTTTTGAAAAATATTAATTTATATTGTAATTTAACGGATAAAAAAACGGATATTGTGATACTGAAGGTGCGGAGGTTTTTTTTTTTTTTTGTTAAACATAACGCCTTTTGATTATTATTATAAAATAAAAATGTAATATTAACAAATAACAAAGAAACGTCTACGATTATCCATTTTCGGTATAAATTCGTTATTATATAGTTACTGGCGATTGTGTAACTATAGTTATTATGTATTTGCATAATAACATACAAAATATATTATGAGCTTATTGTATTATAGGTCATAAACGGTGAGCCCCACAGTAATATGAAAAAAATGTTCTCCGCGGGGCTTTGCCTCTTTATTGAGGAGTGTCTGAAGTCATTACGATAATTCGATTATTTTTCGTTGGAATTTCTAAATAATATTAATTTTTCGTTCGATTTTCAAGAAAAAGTACCATTTTTCCACGGTATTATTCGTATTGCACAATTTTTATCAGTTACTTTAATTATTTATTAGAATTGAAAACTTAAAAAAAATTAAACTGTTGAAATCTTTGAAAAATGTATATAAACTTAATGTGATTCATCATCAAATGCGAGATTAATCGTAAAAATTTACCCAAATAAATTAACTACCTATTATGGTAATTCAATTTATAAATATTTGAGTATGTTTGTGAAATAGTTACAATAAGGGCTCACTCGATGTTTAGACCGGTTATTGTTGGATGTAAAACCAGTACCCATTTTTGATTTTTAAACAACAACTATATTAAATAAATACATTTTGGTGTAGACATTTTTAATTTCCATCAATCCGTTAACGAGATATTTCACTTGTCATTTTGGTTCGGAGGAGAGTAGTGGTACATTTTTTGTACGACCACATAAGGCGTACAGCGCGTGGAGCAGTGTAGCGTGGGGTATAGTGGTGCGGGGTTTAGCGACGCGTCATGGTTAGGTTTGGCGAACTGTGCACGATGCGCACGGGAGGACTGCGCAGAGTGTCACAGTATTTTACCACCCACAATATTATTACCTCGATAGGTATAAATCGCCTGTAGAAAAAAACTTTTTGAGGACTCATTTTAAATGTTGTTACAAAAAAAAAAAATTTAGATTAAATTAGATTTTACAACACATTTAACTAATTAATGTAGCTAGTTCCTTCCATGGAGTATATTTTTGTGGACAAAACGACAATGGAACCCAGGTACCTTCTTTAATGGCGTTAATTTGTACTTAGTTATGCAGTATTCGAAATAATTAAAAATACATGTAACTGTAATAATTATTACAGAGAATTGAAAAAACTTAATTTGTTTTAAAATTGAAATTTGCGAAAAAGACGCATCCTGAATGAAGGCGAAATGTGTTTTTTAAATTTTAAAATAAGAAATTTTTCTTGATGCGTTTTCGGTTTATTGAGGAGTGTCTGAAGTCCCCCGATTTCTGACGATTCGGGTGATGAATTCCTTATTGGGATCTCCCAATCGCACCACTAGGTAGATATTATTATGTTTTTATATTAAATAAAGGTAAATAATCGTTAAATTTGTATTTAATTAAAAAAAAAATTGAGATTGTTATTTTTCCATTATGTACTTGTCGAAAACTATACTCCGTTCCAATTAAGAACGCACTGGGCGGCGGATGATAATCGGTCAAAATTCGTGCAGCCGACTAACAGCGACCAATCCTATAGGGAATACTCAGCTAAAGGGGCAAGGACGTGATTCCGAAATACATTTAGATGCGCCAAGTGGTAAGTTCTAACGTATGGTCTAAAATTGAAAATAAATTTAAGATATTTAAGTATTATAGATATTATAATATTATAACATAAATAAGATTATTTTTCAAATAAAATAAAATAGTTACTAGAATTGTATTTTTAATATTATAATAATTAAGTAGATTGAATAAATTCAAAATTCGATTTCATCGCCGTGCCGTAGTGCGTATACCACAGTCGTATAATAGGGTCCTTATATTCATGTCTTATTTTTTGGGTTTTTATTACGGCTGAATTAAAGAAATTGTGCGCAGTTGAAAATATATCATAAGGTTTTTTTTTTTATATAACCGAAAAATAGGAGTTTTGAAGCCCTCTATCGACACACCTGGTTATGTTCAAACATTAAGGTCCGAAGGACCGAATTTCTCATCCCCACCCTTCCACGTATTAATACAATTTCACCTTCGATGCGCCTACGAAGTGTATTCTTTATTACAGCAAAACCAGTTTAATATGACCTGTTTGTTACCCCCTGATAGTTACCGTTAATATTTGTTTAGTTTCCATGACGACAGGCGGTGTCTTCAAATTTGTTTAATTTGATACTGTATATACTAATACAGTATATAGTGCATTTTTTTTCATTCATTCGCAAACTTAAGCGTCTTGATAACATTATTCGTCAAAATTTTACTCGCTTTTGTTTTTACACAATTATGGATGACACTCGAGCACGCATGATGCTATTAATTGAATTTGAGAGAATCGAGGACCAAGTTTCGATAACAATTTTATATGTACACCCGTCGGGCGAAAAAGAACTGATGCTCGAGGACCACGTGCCATTTGAGAGAGATTTTATGATCAGAGCTTTTCACAAGAGCAAGGAAGAATTATGTAAAATCAGAGTAACGTATTTAACGATAGATAAAACCGGCCATGGAAAGCACAGTTATATGGTTTCGATAGCTTCTTTGAGAGAAGACCCTACTTATAGAGTAGCCGTACCAATAGCCCGACACGGACCTCGCACGGCTCCACATTCTGTGACCGTTACGTGGAGAAATAGCCTGGCAGGAGAACTACTAGAAGAACTCCGCGAAGACGAAGAACAAGAATATCTAGAAGAAATGCGTATTCAAGAAGAAATTCGTATTCAAGAAGAAATTCTAAGAGAAATTCGTCGTCAAGCAGCAGGAGGAGGAGAAGAAGAAGAAGAAGAAGAAGTAGAATTAAATGCTTAAATTACTGCCCTAACCTCCTAAAAATTTGTCAACGTGAGTACCTACATATTTCATTAAACTATGTTAATAGTCGTAAATATACGCATAACACTAGCAATAGCACTATTTGCCTAATGATTATCTTATTTTGGTTATTCAAAAATGATAATAATGTGGTTTTACATAACAAATCGGGGTTTATTTAGGATTAATTGCCTCTGTTCACTCGCTTTGCTTCGTAAGGGTTATTAATGTCTATGGCCCAGATACGAATCAATTTTATATATATATATTTTTTTTTTATTAGTATTTAGTAATTAAATACCTCACATTTAAATATAAGTGTACAAATTAAGTTTTCAGCCGTTATTAATTGCCCTTGTCATTTTCGAATAACTGTGCCCATTCCATCTTATTTTTCTTCATCACCCACGAATTTATCGGGATCTAAATTCAACTGCGGGTATTGAACACGAACTGTCGCCCTTTCTCCGGCAACACTCAAATGCTGTAAAACCATTTTACTATCACCATTTCTACGTAATGCACATTCGTTGTTAAAAAAAAATTCACTCATTAATTATAAAACATAAACTCGTAAATATTTAATAATAATAATTAATTTTAAAAATGTATTAAAAGCATTACTCTTATTATTATTTATAATACACATTCGCCAATATTCAATAATAGTAAAAAAATAATGTTTAAGATACATTTTGAGCATTATAAGCATTTACATAACATTCATCAATATTTAATTAAAAATAAAAACATTTTAAATTTTAATAATTACTCACATATTGTGTTTATCTTTTATCGACATCAATGATTCTTTCATCATTGAATATTCATTATTTCGCAAAGTATTGAGTTTTTCTAATTACATTTTTTTGACAATTTGAATAACAAGAAACAAGCAGATATAAAATGTTATATTGCCATTAATTTTATAATTCTTATATTTGACGTAAAACGAATACTTACCTACTTTGAATTTTCAAAAGGTAATCTAATAATCATGAAAATCCCATGAACGGGTAAATCAAATGTGTCAACACCAAAATGTATTTAAACTTTAGTTATATCTATTTATGAAATATTAATTTTAAGTTACTATTTGAAAGTCAAAAGTAGGTAAATGTCAATAACCCCAAAAATAAAGATGACAAATACAGCAGTACATTTTAAATTATTAAAACAATTTTTTTTGAAACATTTCAATAGGTACTTGTGAAATAATTAGTATTCAAGGATAAAAAATGCACCTTGATATTAAATCTATATAAAACGAATAAATTCAATTTAGTATTTTTTATATTTGTATTATAATTAATAAATTATTGTAAATTAATACTATGAACCTAATTTACATTTCTTTATTTTTCAGAAAAATTAAGATTTAAGATACAGCATTAAGAAACCGCATCATCATCATTCCAGTTATTAATTTTAAGCAATGCATTTATTTATGATTATTTTTAACTCTAGTTATATTATTTGATTAAGTACTTAGTGGCCAAAATAGTTATAATTTACTTTAGTATTTAATCAAGCTAGTATTTATTTTGTAACTTATATATGTTAATAGTATATAATACTATTAGCAGTTCTACTAATAACTTTTAACTGTGATATTATTTATAATGATTTTATTATTATAAATTTATATCTTTTTGACGATATTTTTAATAATTTGTATGTAATTAATTTTAAGTATAAAAAGGAAATAAAGTTTTTGTCAATTATTTTATACATTTGTATTGTACTATTTGGTATAGTTGGAATCCATTTTAGCAAAACTATATTTAATAGGCATGTTTGTTGACAACAAACCTACTGAATAGTTAATAATTACAGTAAATAAATATATAAATAAATAATGTATGTATAAAAATAAAAAATTAATTAATCAATGAAAGCGTTGCCTGGAGTATCATGATAAATGTATTATACGAACTATTTTGAATTAAAAATGCATCATCAGGTATATCACAGTCAAAATGTAAAATGCAATATTTTATTTATATATTTATTTATGAGTATTAACCATTTTAATAATTTTGTTTTTACTTTATTATTTTATTAGTTAATAATTATTTTGACATTGAGTAACACTATTGAATACTGTTGCATCTCCACAATAAATTTAAAATTAAATTTACATTTGATAATGTCTAATGAAATAATATTATAGCCAATTACTATAGGCTATTGTTTGAGCTATTCGTCTATTGACTTATCAAGATTATATTAATTCGCTCAAACATTTTATCACCAAATTGAAACTTATCATATTATACACAATCTTGCATTCATTAAAAATTATGTAGGCAATAAAAATTATTTTTTTCAGTATTAAGTTCATCCCAACCTTGGCTAGCTATACCTAGCTTTGGTTTTTTTTTTTTAAATATAAATATGAACCATATACCCAACTAGATATTTTTAAATTATTTGCTATATTAATACACTTCTTAATAATTAACATTATCTATTATAACATTTTTTTAACATTGCATACCTAACTCATTGTCAGAATATTAATCAGACCAAGGTCTTTGTAGAGGGTCATTAAATCTAAAATCAAAATGTCGGTTTTATATTTTTAGTATTAGACAAATTATATGAATAATAAAATAAAATCATTGGTCATGGTTTAACTAGAATTCACTCATTCTTAAAAATGGAATAGATGAAAATAAAAATTGAATATTAATGTAAAATATAAATATACCCAAAGTTATGACTTATGTTTATCATAGATATAGTTTATAATTATTTCTGTAATTATCTGTGGTTTCATTGAAAACCATTTATTTTTAAAAAAACTGAAGGATTGTAGTTTTTAAATTAAAATAAATAATATAATCATCATTTACCTTCCTAAATTTGGAAAATAATAAAATACGATATTTCTATGAACTAACTACACTAAATTGTTATATTAAATTAAATGACAATATAAACAATGCCTCAATTAATTAGATGAGTCAAAATTAAAATACCTATTTTATTACCTACAGAACATAATTTTGATATGTACCCAAAGCTATTGCTGGCTTATGGAAGTTCCTATATTAAAAAGCAATGCGAATTGATTAAACGTCACATCAAACATAATGTAAGTATAATATAATACATATGCATGTATATCTATCTATATTCTTCATGATATGTATACAATAATATTATATATATCTACCTATAATTGTTAACAATAATAAAAAAATACAAATTCATGTGGTTAGTTTCACATTGGTTAGTGGTCAATAATCTGTGATGAGTATAATTTATAGATTTTTATAGCATAATTTCACTTCACACGTTCACAAACAAACACTTATTAACTTCATATAATTAATATTAAAAACGTAATTGTCACGATTCGCGAATACTAGTCGTATTATGTAGGTAGGTACCATAGGTATAAGGTACCATTGACATAGTATTAAATACTAACCTATGAAAGGAACATTCCTCACCCTGCCTATTGTCTTATGAGTTAGAAGGCGAAAGAGAGATAGTATTAATATTGTTTTACGGTTGTGATAATATGGTGATATTTATAGAAGATATTACAGAAATACAGAATAAAACTACCGAAATTGCTACATATTTATTGAATATTAAACATTTTGAAAATAATATGGTCCATACACTGCTTATTGCAATATTACTAAATATAAATATATGATTGATAACGTTTCGTAGGTATCGTAAAATAACGTCATTATTGTCAATTACCTACTATCTGGATAATAATAATCGTTTGATTGATATTTAAAGGTAGATTCATGGATTCGTAACAAATGATAAACATACATCATTCAGCTAAACTAATACCATTATACATATTGGGTAATTGGTTATTGTAATATAGTAATATATATACGAGGTGATCAATCTATGATAAAACACTCATTATCTCGGAAAGTATTGACTTTATCCAGAATTTCTTTTCTAGAACATTTAAGAAACAAGCTGCTCTTCAATTTTATATTTGTGTTATTTTTTGTCAACCTTATTTTTGGGAAGAAAACCACTACTTACTTTTGATTTTCAAATGGTAACTTATATTAAAAATTCCATAAATAGATGGAGTATTATTTAAAATAAATGTCAGTGTTGTATTTTTGATTTCCGTCGATCTGTTTACGTGATATTCCACTTTTAAGTATAGGTTGGAAGAGAGTAGTGAAGTATCATTTGTGTGGCTGTACGGCGCAGGAAGTGTTAATAATGCTCCATCATTCTCCACCAACCCAAACTTAAAAGTGGAATATCTCGTGGAATGGAATATCAAAATTTTCAACACCAACATTTATTTTAACTAATACTTCATCTATTTATGGAATCTTTATTATAAGTTGCCATTTGGAAATCAAAATTAAGTAGTGGTTTTACTCCCAGCCAAGTGATTTTCCATAAATAATAAGTTGTACACAATATATTGCATGGACCCATGGAGTAAATATACCTTATTTATCATGTATAGATATATTATTTAGTAGGTACACAAAATAGTAATAATTATAAATATTTTTAAAACAAATTACAATTTATTGATAAATAAGTAATCTTAGTAGGTAGTTCATATTGTTCATTAATTTTGTTTCAGTATGTTACTTTTATTTATCGTTTATACAGTTTTAACTTAAATTTGTATTTCGTAACAAGTTGGGAATTTTTGATTAAATAAAATAAAATATTTTTTTTTTTGTACATGGACTCATGGGGCCTCATAATAATTTGATCTTCGGTGGGCCTGGGTAAATTTTGACCCAGAGACCTCTCTCTGGGCTTGTATGTAGGTATTGTCGGATGTACATCTCATGCATTTATAAATTGTTTACAACTAAATAATTATAACATAGTCAAAGGTTACCATAAAGTTTTTAGACTAAATCCGGACACCAGTTTGAAAATAAATGATAAACAAAAGAAAAAATAACAAATATTATAATATATAATATATATAATAAAAATATGCGGTAATTTTCTACAGAAGAAAATGTCGAGTCGTTATCCAGCGTTAGATATTAGGTATTGACGTAATATTGAAGTGACGTGTACATGACGTGAACAAATTATCACACGAATAGAAATAATATTCGTAACAGTATTCAGTAAGACTACATTTAGTAACACTTGTGGCAACGTATCCGGAAAAATATGAATAAAAATATAAATTACAAATTATACATTTATATTATATACTTATATATACAGAGTGTAACACGAAGATCTGACACATGATATAACTGTATTTTTCGTTAACTTTTGTAAAATTCGGATTCCGGACATTTCCTAAATCCGGACGTATGGTAACCCTGAACCCTGACTTTTACTTTTGAGTAAAAGGTCTATGAATTATAAGTATAATAATAAAGTGTTATGTTATTTTTTTTTCCTAAACCCAATTCATTGTATATAAAATTTTTTTAACTATTTCAGGATTTAATTTAAATTAGAACTTGTAAGAATTGACATGTTTTATGTATTGAAGATACTAATATTTGAACATTTATGAATAACGGATCTTCAAATTGAATAATTATCTCTAGCGAGTTAATTTAAAAAGCTGGATCTAAAAGAATTGATAATAGATACGATTCTGACATTAACATATATATATATATAGGATTATAGACAAATATCTACAAACAATTTATATTTTAAATATATGTACATCGATTGTGGCGTCAACCAGTTGTAAGTGTTGTCCGGACATAGATAGCGGCATCACGGGGAATGTGCAGGCCGAGAATTATTACGTGTATGGGTAAGGATGAATTCACATTAACGTGTGTGTGTTGATCGAAATGGATATTAACCGAGACAGACCCTCACGTGGAACGTTCGTGGGCACCTTATGTATTGTGGAGACCTCGGCAGGACTGTGCGGTTGCCAGGTCGCACAAATTACCACCGGGAAGGGTAGCGGAAACGCTTTTTGTTCCATCTTGATTGGTCCGTAGTTTCGGTGGCCCTATGGGTGAACTTACGTGGTACGTCCGATTCTGAATCGCGTAATGGGGAAAATCGATCTATGTATACATCTTCCTTTTTTTGATACTCACACACGTGGATGCGAAACCTAGCACTTAGAGGGGATAGAAAAAAAGAATAAAAAAACAAAATACGGGGAGAGGGGGTTTGGCCTATCGCACTTAGGATGTGGACTGCGGGGATTAGCATACCGAGACGGACACACAAATCTAGCTGGTTGATTCCCATAAGTATATCAGAAGGATTTAACATAAAAAGAAAACATTTATATAAACATATTCATACGGAGAAACCTTAATTAAATTACATTAAAAACTAATTAACGGGGTATCGGTCAATTACTAAATCATATACATATTACAACCGTTCTCCCGAAGATGTCCGCCCAGCGGACCAGATCGGGACTCGCTTCATGGAGTTGTTCGAAGCACCATCATGAATCGTGCCAAGGTACACGACCTTTTCTTGACGGCAAAAAGCAAAGTGTATTATTAAGAGAACTGTATCTAGAGACAATCTGGTGACAGAAATCTCGAGACGAAGTTTAAACACGAAGAAGAAAAAGAACGAACAGAAAAGAACTGGGTAGCGGAGCGCGGAGATGTTCGTGGCACGTCGCCATGGGCTGATGTTTTTGGCGATAAGGGGAAACGTGATATAATTAATCGTTAATTCGTAGTCAGAAACAAAATATTATTGCGAATTGCAATAGATTGCGATCGCATAAACCCTTACGCGGGCATAATCTATTACCGGTCGACCATATCGATGATAGATATGCTTGTCCTCTGATAACGGGAAATTGTCGTTTTTGGACGTTACAAACTTGTCTTTTTATATTGTTATGTTATTTTTTTTTCCTAAACCTAATTCATTGTATATAAAAAAAAATGAACTATTTCAGGATTTAATTTAAATTAGAACTTGTAAGAATTGACATGTTTTATGCATTGAAGATACTAATATTTGAACATTTATGAATAACGGATCTTCAAAATTAATAATTATCTCTAGCGAGTTAATATTAAAAGTTGGATCTAACCTTTCAGTTTGATAATTCTTTATAAAATCATCAATCATCTCATCAATAATGTGTGCTTATCTAAATCATACTTTGCCTAATCAGTATCAAAATGTGAGCTTATTGACAATTTATTGAAATTATTAAATAAAATTAATTGTTTATTTATGTAGGTTCTATTTATAAATTCAACAATACAAATATAACTGAAGATTTTAATTATTATGAAACAAAATTTAGAGATATATATGACTGAAATGTTCAATACAAATATACTAAATCCATCTGTTATAAATTAAATATTATAAAAAAAAAGTTATATAACTATTATATATAGTTTATTTAAGGTTTCTTATCATTTACACTCTTATCAGTTAGGTATTACACATTGTGATCTTAAAAGAAAAATTGTTACTTTAATGTTTTCATTTGACTTGCTTAATGGAAATATAGATTGCCCGGAGTTACTTTAAGGCTAGTCGCTGACGCAATAATTGCGCAACAGTTTAATCGCATGAGTGACTTCCACAGTGATATATTGCAATGCGCCCACATACAACCGATCAGTTGGACCAACTAATTAGTTTGTGTTTTGTCATAAATCGTTTGATCGATTACATGCAATTGTTTTGTGTCATTCATGTTTCAATGGGTCTCACCTCACTTGTTACCAAACAGTTGCGACGTTCACGTTTCCACTTCTAAAAAACTAACACTACAAACACGAATGAAAGTGAAGTGCAGCAAGGTAATTATCATGAAATATTTTACTAATTACTAACTAATCTAATATTAGATAATAAAAAACAAAATGTAAATTTTCTGTTTTGCACTAAAATACTTATTAATAATGCTATCGATAATAATCGATAGTATTTTGTCATAAATATTATAAAAAGTTAATATTACTATCAATATAAATATAAATATTATATAATATACAAATTTCTGTTCCAGAATTTGTTAATGATGGTGATTGGGTAGAAAGATTTATTCAAGCAGTTCAAAGTAGACTTCCAATATATAACACTAAACTTCCAGAGCATTTAGACCGGAACTTAATTTTGCGTCTTTGGAGTGAAATATTCAAAACAATGATTCCTACGTGGCAAGAAATGACTTCAAGTGAAAAATCGTTAAAACATTATAATGAAACAGAACAAAATAACGATTAATACTTAAAAGGTTGAACATTTTATTGTATTATTATAGTTTACTTAATATTTTCCAAAAATATTTATTAATATTACATACAATTATTAGTTATATTTAATGATCTATTGAAACTTAAACTGTTCAAATCGTTTTATACTGCCAAGGAATTGGTCCCCGGGTGAAGTGAAATATTTCACGAAATATTCTCTTGTCGTACCAATGTACGCCTTTCTCCACATAGTATCTTGATAAGTGATGAAAGGTTGTATCAAATTTAGAAGATCATCAAAATTTTAAACACTCATATGATAAAAATTAAAGAATTTATCTGTTTAAGACCGTAATTCATTATGAAGATTATATAACTGTTCTTTCACTAATTGCTGTGAAGTTATCGGATGTACTCAATATTTCTTCTTTTTAACTCGAAAGCACATACTGGAGCTATCCTAACGAAATTCATGATGCGACTGAACTGTATCATGTGCGCGGGCCTACTAGACACGACAGTTTAGTTGCATTTATGAGGGCGATTATGATCCAACTGTTGCGCGACTGAAAATTGCCTGTTAGCGAATAATCTAATGGTTGGCTTTCACATTAGTCATATCTGCTTCAAGGTTAATAAATTGTTTTATGTTTCATTTTTTACCGATAATTATATTACAGCTCAGCATCATATTTTCCTCAAGTTCTAATGTTAGCAAATAAATTACCATCTTGAGTTTATTTTTTTTTTTATGCCTCACTAAGTTTTTAAGTGTAATGTTAATGTATATAATATGTTAACTAATTGCTGTAATGTCATCTTTATTTATTTATACTTACTGATTATTATTTCATCAATTGTATTTTTAATTACTTGTGCTATTTATGATTATCACTTTTCTTTTGTTAAAGAGTTTTTCACCCAAGTATAATTAATAAAAATAAGAATAAATAAATACTGTTAAAGTAAATTATTGTTTAATAATAATTATATTTGAATTGCAAGTGTGATATTTATTTGAAATAATTTATGTTCTAGATAAGTTCAGACAACATAGTTGAATTGAAAACAAAACGGATCATTTCTAAACAAATTCATAGAGCTTATTCAAACCTTCAGGATAGTTCTAACATTGAACATTAATTTTGTATCTCAATGTTTAACTGTGTATTGTGTTTTATACAACATAACCGACTGAGAGATTTATAAATCATTAAATTATATTTGAAAGTATTAATACAAGTTTTTGTAAATAAAAAATAACCTTATTTATCTTTATTCCTTCACCCAGAGGCACATTATTTCTATAATAATGGTGGGCTTGGTATGATTAAGATGGGCTAACCTGTGTAAATTGAGTAAATGTACCTCATATATCAAGTAAATTACTTAAATTGCTAGGTTGTGGCGGCGAAGTGTTCTAGACATGAACTCCTCACCATATACATTATTTTTTGTATTTGGTAGGTAAATAAAACAAATATAATATATCATTACAAAACCTTTCTTATTTCTCTCAAATATTTTTCAATATGACAATAAAGAATTAGTTACTTATTCATAAGGAACAATATTTATTTTCTCAGACAAAGGGATAATTTTTATTCAAGTGGTTTCTCAAATTGTTATAAAGAACTTTAATATTCGTAATAAGTATGTGCACAGCGTATCGATTTCCTAGAGAGGGAGGGCGACAGCTCTAACAAAATTGTTTACGTGGGAACCTACATACATAAGTAATATACATACCTAGTACACTCATGGACTACATGTAAATTTCTACAAAGATGACCTTTTTAGATTTTCAAATTTGGGTTAGGTGAAAACTTATTTCATATTATTACAGCACTTCTTACATACTCCAGTAGGTATTTTTAGTTTGTATATATTGTATGCTTTCATTATTTTAGAGATAATATATTATAATCATCATTTTAAAAACATGTCCTAGGATAATGGGGTTGGGTGCAGCCACTATTATAAGCAATTTATTGTACACCTGTAAGCAACAATAAACTATTGCTTACAAAAAAACGATTCTGAGCAGAGTTCAGTTGATAATGCTACTCTGTTAATAATATGTGTCATATTATGGTAAAATTCCAAAATTGAAATGGATCCCATTTTTCTTACGTTTTTTACATTTGTTGAGAAAACTGAGAAAATCGAAAAATTACCTTTCTAAAGTACCTCCCTAGTGAAATTTCCTTATAAACAAATCTATATCATAATAAGTTCGAGCAAAATTGCTTGTAAAAAAAGTCCACAGAAAAAAAAATTGTAATGTACTAATAATAATATACAACAATAATGATAATAACTTTATGGAAATTAGTTTCCAATTTCAAACTAATAATTTGACAGTGTAAAGTGATAGTTTATGTGAATATAGTGAAATAAATAATCTATTAATTAATACTAAATAATAAAATTAAGTTAAAAATTTAAATTACCATTCAAAATAAATTATTTGTAATAAATGAATACAAAAATTAATATACTGAGTTATGGATTATAATATATTATACAAAATAAACCCAACTATTATAAATAAATTAAGGACATGATGAAATAATGTAAGTTACCTCTATGGATGGGGGGTAGAATACATCCATGTTAGTCCATGCCTGTTGTAAAAACTAAATTGGACTTAGGAGCGGGCAGCAGCGCTCCTAATACTAGGTGAGGAAAAGCCATAAGGTTATCCTCACTCGGACACCAATCACTAGAAATAGTGGTTGGACTGCGATGTGGAAGGCAAGGGGAAACCACCACATTAACATCCCTAGTTAGACAACTACTATTTTTGTCATCTGAAAATGGATTCTCGTCAGTAAACAGTATTTAGATAGATGTTAAGATATATTCAGGATTTATTCAAAATAATATTTGATTCTTACTAATAATATTGTGAGTATCAATCTTTAATACCTTTAATATTATCAGATCATTTTCACCTTCAGATTTTCACTTCTGTAATTCATCTAACAATTTACTCATATGATTTCATTGTAACGAAGTACAATGGGAAGCTATACGAATATTGGTCCACTCTGAAGAAGTACGTAATATGTATTGAAAACGGAGTAATTTTAAATACTTCTGTGGCATTAGATAATACAATTTTTATTGAACGCAATTTATGTGAAGTAGTTGAATTCGGTTTACCGAGACGAAAGAAATTCATTTTAGTAATTTTATTATCCATTTCACTAAAGCATCTTTAAAAGTTGTTCATTATTAGTTTCTGATGATTGAGTATTATTCATAAATTCAGAAAAATTAAATACGATTAAGTTGCAAGACCGTGATTGTTTATCAATAATTTCTGAAATTATAATCTATTCGGATCCTATATAAAAAGTAGAGGTATCATTTTCAAAAGTTTCTAATTTTCTTTCAAATAAATCATCCTTTTCTCTCAGTAATTTATTATCCTCGGATAACCTAGAAATAGTTATAACCATTTCATCAAATTTCGTATGTAGTTTATTAAAATTATAAATTTAAATTTTTGTAATTCAGTATACATATTATTTTAAAATGTTATACTAGTTTTAAACTAAATTACATTTAAATTTGTATACTAAATTAAATTAAATTAAAGTTATTAACTTAACTTAGGTACTGGTTTGTTGTTTTAATTAACTGCGTTTAAAAAATTCATAACCTTGACAAGCCTTGGATAAAATTAATTAATTTATGAATTGAATACCTTTATATGTTATACCTATCTATAAAATAGTTCTAAATACTATTATATAATAATTTTTGAATAAACCATTATTTTGTCTTACACAAATAAACTATTTAACTATATTATTATCATAGATAATGCACTCAAATTCCTTTGTGTAAAAGCTAAATTACAATTCAAAGACGTAAAAAGTGAACTGTGTAATTTTTCGTTATCTTGTAACACAATGATCAATGCCAGTATTGGAAATGCAATTATGCCAATAAAACTCAATAATGATTCTGAAACTGATTTGAATGATGATAAAAGTAATGTACACAAAAATATTATTTATTTGAGAATATAGAAATATTATTATTTTTTAGATCATAAGATACTGATGATAAGGAATCAATACATAGTAATGAACTAGATGACTGTCAATTTTGTTTACCATGCATGTTTAAAATATTGTTGAAATTAAATTTACATTCTTCAGCATATTCGAATGTGTACTTATTATATACATTTTTATTAACATTAGCATGCACCCACCCAAGTTTACTGTGAATGGTCTTTCTCAAAATTGAAAATTATCAAAAATAGACTAAAAAGTACCCTTTCTGAAGAATTGTTAAGTGCATTAATGTTAATAAGTTCTTAACATGATAACATGATATAACATGACCTTATTCTTGATATTAATTATATCATAAAAAAAATATCTAAAAGTTCAGACTTACTCGGTAAAATATTATACATTTGGTAGGTACTTCATACCTATATTTTAAACATGAACATAATACAAAGTATATCATGTAAATACATCATACATGATATGTTTTAATTTTATTTTGTATCAATAATAATAATATGTATTATAATTTATAATATCCACAATCTATAATAATACATGGCACAGTATATTTTTTGATAATATTTACAGTTTTCGACGTTCGATTTTTAAAGATTTAGTTTGTCTTGGTAAATTTATTACTTTTATTATTATTTTAATTATTGTACTGAAGGTGAATATAAATATGTAAAACTGAGATAAGTCATAGTTATATTAGTATTGCACTTAGGTAGCTGGTATATCTTTGTAGTTTTATTTAGTCATATACCTATATATTATCTATATCACAATTGGTAAAATCGGATTTATGATATTTTTAAGATAATTAAATACAATACTTAAATGTGTAATCACAGACCATCAATTTATTTTCACTTTTTACCATACAACTGCATATAACTAAGTAATCTAATATTGTACAATTTTGTTCGATTGTTTGTTGTTACTTGGTACCTATTTATGTTTTTAACGTATTTTCAATATTTTATCAAAACAAAATAAAATATTTTAATATTTTAAAAATAATCTGCATATTTTAAATTTGCCCCAAAATTTTTTGTTATTTGCCTTTTTATTATGTAGCATCCCGTGCCCTTTTTTACTAGTCCGCGCCTGTACCTACCTAGTTTTTAAATTTTGTATATGGTTTTATAACAAATAATCATAAGTGATAAATTATAACTAAAATAATTACAGTTAACAAAAATTTTGAATTCCAGTCATCAAATTTAAAGTGTACAACCCCCCATGATTTTTTTTAAGATCGTCTCTGTACACTATTACCAAATAGTAAGTACGGGAAACTCGTCGAATTTCAGGAGATACTAATGAGGCTCTATAGAGAATTGCCTATGCTAACCCCTTAAAAATATTTATATATATTGATAAAAACTGGATTACTGGATTTTACTGATAGTAAAATGTATTCTTTTGTTATTACTTATTAGTGAAATATGAAATAGGTATTGGTTGTCTAGTTAATTTATAATTATCGGTTAATCGCAGCTTCGAATCATGTCTGCTGTTGGAGCTATACGTCAACGTTGTATTGTCAGAACGAAAAATTGGTGTACTTAGAAGCAAATCGAAAGCTGCAACGACTTATTTACTAAGGAGTGACTTATGTAAGAAGTTGTCAAACTTTAGTAACACGATAATTACACAATAATTAGCTCATCATATTGAATCGTACTGGTGCATTTCACATGGTCAATGATCTCTTTATTAACTATTTATTTAACTATTCACATCGCTTGATTTAAATGTTCACCCCTGCATCACCTCAGTGTATGACAATATCAATTGTACTTGTACCTATAGGTTTTTTGAATTTCAAAGAACCACTTCTTGTTAAACAATGAACTATTTATGAATAAAATTATTTGTAAAATATGTACATATTAACTACTTTTGGTTATTTCGACTACCTATCAACGAATATCGGAATATTTAATTTTTTTTAAATTTAATAGTTACAATTTATTTATTTAAATAGTTTAATTGAATCGGTTATTACATTTAAATTTTAATTTTAAAACATGTACACTGGTTTGAAATACATTTTTTTTACACAAAACTATTAAAGCAGCAAATATTTCACAAAACATGGTTACTTGATTAACAGTAATACAATTTTATATGGGCAGTTGCCAATTTCCAGATCAAACTCATTATTTTAATAATCAATGCTGGATCCCTATTTTATTTATATTATTTTCTATGATTAATGTTATAATAATTACACCAATTAGATTTCCAGAATCTCAAGTTTTTATTTTTTAAAACATCGTTCCTCTGCTTTTTTTCGTTCTTTTTTTCGTCCTTTGAATGTTTTCACCTTGCTTGCATATATCACAAAATAATGCTATCTACAAAATCAATTTTAATAACTATTTCTTAACTAAAAATTGGGAAGGTTAAACTTGATTGAACTATATATATAATAGTATTTTTTTAATATATATAGTTTTGTTTTTTAAATTAAATTTTAAAGTAATTAAAAAGATATCAACTTCATTACATTTTCATATATTTCACCAAGTGGAAAGAAAAATGATTTCCAATTCATAAACTGGATAAGAGAAAAGTACCTATAATTATACAGCTGACTATAATAGCATTTGCTAATTAATTATTATTATTATTATTGTAAATCGTTGGTTGTACACTTTTTCTCCGAACTTTAAACAAATATTTTTAACCTTTCCAGAATAATAAACTATAGAATGGCAATCTTCAAATTTATCAAAAATAATAAAATAAAAACAAAATTAATAAAATGATTGATACTCATAAATAAATATATAAATAAAAAATGTATACATAAAAATGAAAAATTAATTAATTAATACCTGATGATGAATTTTTAATTTTAATAATAATACTCCAGGCATAGTCATTCATTTATTTTATTTTTATGTATACATTTTTTTTTTTCATGTTTTCATCACTTGAATAATATATTTTTATATATCATACTTTTTGTATTATCCAAAAATGTTTAATTTAACTCAAATCACAAAAATATTATGTTTTAATGTTTATTATAGTTATTTTAAACTGCTAATTTCTTTTTTCTAGTTACTGAAAAACTTTACAATGATCAAAATCAAAAAATTATTGTAAGTTACGGTTCTGGGTGTACTTAAAGACACATAAATCCTTTTATGGTAAGTCGATAAGCCTCATATCATTGGTGTTGGTGATATTAAAACAATATTATTTATATTTTTATTTTGGTCGAGTTTTCCTTGAAAATAGAGACACTGGTATTGTATCTGTTATATTACTTTCTGTTTCCAAATTGCATGTGGAAATTATAATATAGACAGAGTTTTGTTGGTGATTCTTTAGAGACTGAGTCGAGTTGCTTGCGCGATTTTTATTTTTTTAAATTTTAGATTCTGCAAAACATTTCTCTCCTAGAAATACTCTTAAATTTTGATTTTACGATTTCAAATTTAAATAATTTTACTTAGACCAAATGATTGAATTTTTAATAAATAAGATTTACAAATTTTTTTTATTTTGTGCATGCTCATCTCTCAATATTATTATTCAAAAATTTATATTCATTAATGATGTTTTTTTTTTTTTTTTGTCGTAGGGTTTTCGAAATCAAACTATTGACTGATCATTAAAAGTTATAAATCAATAACTATATACAATTAATTATATCTACAGATTATAACTATTCACACGCAACTCGACTTTGTCACAAAAAATACCACATATGCCTTTCAGTAGTCAACTAGCATTGCTTATTTTTTTTGGCACGCAATTCAGATGCAACCATTAATATATCTTTCTGATACATTTGGGTACTTTTATCAGCTCCCTCTAAACCAAAATGCTTAAACTAAATCTTTTTCCTAATTAATTCATTTTAATCAGGTTTTAATCAGGTAAATAGGTACCTTAATAGATTTATGAATGTAAAAGACTAGGTTAAAATGTGTTAAGTGGGTGATTTTTTTTTTTTTTATCAAACCAAAAATTTTCTCAAAGGATTTTAAGTCAATTTGATTTCTGTATGTTTTTTTTAAAATCATGTTGGAATCGGGTAAGCTTTATTTTAAAACTATGTTAAATTTTTTATCCATGTATATTAAATAAGTATATACTTAAATATACTATATAGGAATTTGTGTTCAAAAAGGGAGGTTCCTATTTGAAAAACAAAAGTATACACTTATTTAAGGTATATGAAGTAAGGGTAAAACTTAAACAATTCCACAATGATAAAAAAATAGAAAACAGACATCTAAAATCTTAGATCACCTTTAAATTTTCCGAAAAAATGGTTTAGTTCATAATTAAAAACTATCACTGTATGTATAAATATAATTGTTGTTGAGAATATGCCTTTAGAAAATTTTAACTCCTCCTATTCCCCAGCTCCTGTTTGTATTTTATCAAAAATTTCAAAAACTACTTTACCCCTATTTTGATACAAAACTATTTTGTTCAAATTCTTATTAGTTATTATATAAAAAAAAAAAACTCAGAATATTGTAACAAGTCAGATAAGGAAAAGCTTGAATACTGCTAATGTGTTTTTTTTTTTTTTTTAGGTAATGAAGATTATTTTTCTGAAACCATTGCAAATTCTTATTTCAACATCACATGGCATTGGCTGTGCATATATAATATGGTCTACAAGCATCAAACAGTTGAGAATTCAGATTCCAAAATAGTGCATTAATCTGAAAATACAAATGCCAGAAAATGTTAATAAATAAAAACAAAAAACTTTAACTATTAGTAATTGTGGAAAAGACTAAAATAAAAACAGCAAGTGGTTGATTATACTTTTTATTAATTTTTTTCTATTTTGATAAACTTTTGTCATCCTTTCTATTTATTGTAATTATAAATTTACATACTAGTGTTCCATAAAGGTCTGACAAATACAAAAACTTTTATTGTAATCAGTATTTTATAAGTTTTTTTTTTCTTGTAATATTTTTTCATAAATTGCACTATTGTTCCTTTACTTAATTTTAATTTGTACAAAATCTATGATAGTAATTTTATAAATATATTTTGAAACAAAAATATAGTATTACAAATATTTACTAATGATAAATTATTAAGTTTTTAAACAAATTATTAAAGTTTACAAAAATCATTCACAAAATTATTTTTCGTAGAAAAATTGGCAAATTGATTGAAATTAATTAGTGGTGGTAATGAAAACAATTTAAGTTATGATAAACTTCTAAAATATACTTTTATACTTTTAGTTTTTAAAAAAATGTAAAATAGAAGAATCAGCATAAAACAAAAAAAAAAAATCAAACATTGAATTATTATTCAATAAGTTGAAGTTTATTTAATAAGTTTTATTTGTCAGATTTTCTTAAGACACTTGATTAATAATTTATGTAAAACATTTATCAAAGAAATTAGAATTGTATGTAAAGTTCTCCTTAATTACAAGTAATTACTATCATGTATTTTAATTCATAATAAATTGTTAAAAATCTCAATTAGTATATAAACCTTATCTGATCATACTCTTTTAAATTGTTTTATAATTGTTTAAAATATGTAAATTTTTACCTAACCTAACCTATGCTACCAGTTATAATTAAATTATAATTAACATCAAAGCTAATTGATTAAAAATTGTATGATTTGCATAGCATTTTTTTAATTTCAAGTGATTATTCTCACTGATAATATAATATGGTATTTATTATTATATATTTACTATAGTCTTATATAATTATTAGTTAAGTTATAATTTATAACCCACAATAATATTAATAAGGATTGTAATACTATATTTATGTGATGTTCAGCAACTATTTAATATTTATTATAAAATAATAATAACAACAATAATTCATAATTTTGTAAGTTGATTTGAATACTTTTATTGTTATTATTATTTTCAATACCTATTATTAATTTAATTTTAGTATTTACAGGAAAACTAAACAAACTGATGGTATAATACCACATGATTCTAATCACTTATTCTCAAAAAATACCATTTTTTAATTCTTTATTCTATAAGCTTGAACATATTCCATTAAATAAACATAATTATGAACACGAGCTCAATATTATCTACAATATAGGCCATAGAAATAATTTCAATTTAAATACTATTAAAAAATTCATAAACATATTAAAAAAAAATAATACACAGCTCACTATATAATGTTGTTAGCTATTGTAGTATGAATTATCAAAATAATATGTCTAACAAATCTGCCAAAATTCTTAACAATAATATAAATAATGTAAAAATAGTTTTAAAACCTAATAATAATTTAATCAAACATATAAACAATAAAACTAAAAACTTCACAAAAAATCCCCCTTCTTTTGAAAATACTAGTATATATAAACTTAAATGTAACTGTAATAGATTTTATTTAGGTAGAACAAATAGAAATTTAAAAATAAGATTTAAAGAACACATTTCTGAAATAAAATTTAAAAAAACTGCTCCTAATTCAAATTTTGCTAAATATGTTTTAGAAAATAACCATAATAAAAGATTTGATATTAATACAAACTTAAAGATATTAAATACCTAAAATACATTTACATTAATTCAGTTTTAGAATATTTACATATATATAATGAAATAAAGAAAAATAATTTTAATAATATTTTAAATGTACAAATGGATTTTAAAAATATCTTATATTAATACATTTGTAATTAATAAATAATAACCAAATTATATTTCTTAACATATCAATGTCTAATAATAACCCATTTTAAATAATCTTCTATTAAAATAAATTATTTTCTGTGTAAATTGACCAATTTGTCTAATTTTTTCCATCTATTCCTTCATTTAATTTTGTATATTTAGTTATGTTTTAAATTTTTAATGTGATATATCTGATGATGAATTTTTAATTCAAAACTAGTAGTATAATACACTTATCATAATACTCCAGGCAAAGCATTCATTCATTTTTTTTTTTTATTTCGGTATACACATTTTTTATTTATATATTTATTTACGAGTATTAACCATTTTAATAATTTTGTAGTAAAAACTTTTTTACCATTTAATATTCTTATTTCAAGGTTTCAACCTTTTTATTTTTTTACCACATCTTGAAACCTACAATGGAAATAATTTGTTAACATTTGCACACTTCAACAAATGTTAATTTTTCAGTTTATAGTTTTGAATATGTATGGTTTCAACTCGACCAACAGAGTACAACACAGGTTTTGTTTTTCACTGGAGGCTTTGATAAAATCAAAAATAATGACAAACAAATAATACTACTAATGCTAGGTTATAATATTGCTTATAAATATTATTTATGCATGAAAATAATAAGTTTTTATTCATATATATATATATATATATATATATGTATATTTTTATAAAATATAAAAAAATAAAAAACCATGAAATGCAATAAAATGAAATAAATTGAAAATCAAATAATAAACTAACGTATCATGTTTTATTATTTTGAAAGGGTTAAATATATAAGTATCTAGTTGACATCTGGGGCGTAGCTATATTTTTCTGGGTTGGCTAGATAATATAATTCTTTGCATACAAAAGAGTACCAAGTACTAATACAAATTTTAGATTCTGAGTGGAGAGAAAAAGCTTATGGATTAACAAAGATGTTTACTTTTTTTTGTTCTATGTACAACTTTTTCAGAAATCTTGCTCTGATAAGTGTAGCGTCTTTTCTGAAAGAAAATCGGTGTGGAGAAGATTAAAATTGTAGGTATTAGTTAAAATATATTACGACTTTCTTTTTTACTCTGAACAACTTTTCTACCAGCAAGTTTGCTCTAATTTAGAATGAAAGCAATTTTTGGAAAAGGAAATCCGACTGGGGAAATACTTTAGACGGTTAATTTTCGATTTTCTGTTTTTCCAGCAAATGTGAAAAACCGGAAAAAAAACGTAGGAAAATCAGTACAACATTAAACAAATATTATTAAAGAAAATAAATAAAGCCAATTTAATTATTTTACTATAATGAGACATGTATAGGTATTGTTGACTAAGCATCACTATCAACTGAACTCCGCTCAGAATTGTTTTTTCATTAGCAATGGTTTATCATCGCTTACAGATATACATTAAATTACACTGACCGCACCCGTCCCCATTATTCTAGGACGCCTTTTTGATTTTAAAAATTGTGTTAATTTTCGAAGAAAAGCGTGTAGGCTTGGTAGGTCTACCCGCTGGCTACGCCACTGGTTTAAAATTGGAAAATATGTCGGCAAGAAAAATAATTCGAAATAGGTAATAGAATCATAGATAAGTGTTAATTCTGTCTGGTTTGGGTATTTGGGTATGGGTTATTTTTATTATAATAATACGCAGTTAAAAATCAGATGGCTGTATTTTGTACGCTTCACATCATCGATCCAATACGTAATAATTAAGCAATATTTTACTGCGCAGTTGTTGTATTGGAACACATTTTGGGAACAAAATTTGTCATAAATATTTATAACGCACGATACGACACACAAACAACACCGTTATGGATCAACGGTGAATATTTATCCTATTTTCTAATTTAATTTAATTCCCGAATATAAAATTACCAAAATCAATACAATGTAGGAAAAAACAAAAAAACGTACTTACGCCGGAGTTTTGGGAACCACTGAATTTTCTGCGCGCGCTCGCGCGCGGCGTCTGCGATGGCGGCTTGCCCGGGACGCCAAGCACAAAACACTATATAGTTACGACGTTATCATTACGCGCGTTATCTCCGTTGTAGCGTACTAGCGTTGTTTGACCGCCATCCGAACACAAACTACGCCGCAGTAGATTTTTCCCGCAGCCCCGCGGAGTCGAACATCCCTCCTAACAATATTTTATTGTTCCGCACCCGGTGTTACAAAACGTACATACTTTACAGTCGTTCACCGCCGTCGTAGCGCGAGACGACGGCATCCTTCGTTTATTGTCGCCGTTTTCTCGTCACTCGTCAGTGTGTTCAGTTTAATCGTTACAGCGTCCCCTCGTTGTGTGCCCGAACGACGTCGAAACAACGCCTGCGCTTCCGCCGCCGTCTTGACGCCATACAGTTTAACCGAGTTTGACACCACGACGTTCACCGCAGCAGACAATATGGACGAGGTACGTTCAACAATATTATAATATAACAATATTCCTCTTTACCACCGCCATTCGTCTCCAACGGCGTCGTGAAACCGGGGACGTTGAGTCGCCATACATATTCGGCCCGGTCGTTAATACGTTTCGTTCAACGTCCCACCCATCATAAACTCGAAGATTTGTAACCGTTCGCTCGTCAGCCCCAGACTTTTGAATGTCGTTTACTCGTTATGTAGTATGTACCGAAACTCGGTCTGACGAATAGCTTCCGTGTAACGGCGCCGCCTTTCGTCCCGTCCGCAGCCGCGCACGCGGTTTTGGTTAAACCCGTGCGGCGTGTATGTGCCACCGTCCACCATATTGTATTTAACTCCTTACCCATATTATCACCGTTCGTTCGATTTTCAAACGTAGTATTTTGCTACGAGTCTTTGTTTTTGGCCGGCCGATGATGACTAGTTCACATTTTGTACCTACCTCTTAAATTGTCTACCGTTAATTACTACAATGACAATGGTGATATTCCTGGGGGCCGTTAATTAGTTTTATCGTTGCTTCAATACTTACTATTGTTTACATTTTACTAAATAAATTAAAATACACATGTTATGTAGTTACCTATAATAATTTATAAATTTTACAAACTTGAAAAAATATATTCTACATAACATTATATATTTGTTAACTAATTGAAGTGTATTCTATTTTATAGGTAGCGCCAGAACCCGATGAATCTCAATTGACAAGTAATTATTTTTAATATAAATATTAAATACCTACCTATTCTATTGTGCTAAATATTTTGTTTTGTATTTTTGGTAGATGCTATTGCTGATCAAATAGATGATGAAATTGATCCATTACTAGTTGATGACAAAAGTATCGATAAAGATTATGAACAAGGTGATGAAGTGGACGATGAGACTACAATGGAAGAAGAAGAAGCACTTCCGGAATTGGAAGACCCTATGAGGGAAATACGATTTCTAGAAGAAGTATCTAAAATGATCTAATAATAATAATAATTATTTTATTATATTATTTAACTTTTTGTTAATACAGGAAAGTAACATGCCTATTCATGAACTTATGCTTATGTACGGCTATACTAACAGTGCTGCTGCTCCAGACAATGACGAAAGAAAGAAGAAGAAGAAGAAGAAGAAGAGTTCTTCAAAGAAAAATAAGGATGAAAGAAAGAAGGTAATAATACAATGTTTGTTATACAAAATATTGTATTATTTGTTTTAATTACTGTTGTGTTTATCTAGAAGAAGCTGTCGTCTCCGTCTGATGAAATTCCAGGTAAGGCAAGAAAAGTTATTTAAAAATTGGGTACTTCTTCAATATGTGCCTACCTCGTACGTGCGGTCTACTATGGTCTAACTTGTCCGTGTGATATACAAATATCTGCGAAATTCCCAAATAAAGAAAAAAAATATTAATAATGATTGATTATAATTTATTTTACACCCATTCCCAATCTAATCCCTAATCCTGTGAAATCAATTCATTTGTAAAAAAAAGTTGTGCCTCTCCCCCTAAATGGGTATTGTGCAGTAGATTAGTGGAAAATTCTTGTCATTAAAATCTTGAATATAATTTTCAAATTGTACAAATTTTAAAAAAATTTTGGTAGGTGTGCACCAGTCTATTATGAAATTTTTCTTGTCTTTGATGCATCGATAAACAGAATACTGATATGCCGATATATTGTTATGGAAAATATTGATATGTTCTTAATTATTGAAACAATAGATAGTGAATAGTGATTGTAAAATACCAAAATCTTCCAATGCATAATCATTCATGATTAATACTATATATATATGTATTAATAATACAAATATGTATTAGTGCAGTAGCGTATTTACCAGGAAGATTAAGAAAATATATCTCCCACCTTGGATTTTTTTTAGTATCTAATAGTTAATCAAACCATATTTTTAAATTCATAGTTCTTTACTGTTGAGATAGTAAAAAAAACAATTTAATGTATTAATATCTATACAAGTTAATGTATCAAATAAACCTTAAATTATACATACATTTTTTTGTCTAAAACAAAACCTTTTGGGATCACTATATACATCTAAATAGTAAACACTAGTAAAATAAATAATTATTTACTAATAATTGTAGTTAAATATTTTTTTTTAGATTTGATTTCAATAATAATTTTAGGGCTATTTGAATTATAAATTACCTAAAAAAAAATAAATTATACATTTTTTTTTTAGTCAGAGTACACATATTATGTTACACAATATGACACTATTTCCAAAATCAATATTTCTCTTTGGAAAAATCAAAATAGGCTACTGCATCAGTGCAAAATCTTATTGATTTAGGCATTTGATGTAATATTTTGAAATTGCTGTAGATTTTTCAGAATAGTTCTGTAGTAATCAATAGCTACTTCAAAGATAAATTATAATATTTGCTTTAATTTTCTTTTCTTTTTAGATTTTGTGTGTTTTTAATATATTTGTTTTACACAATTTTCACCAGAAGAATTTTAAAAAAAAGAGCAAAATATTGATGTATAGTGGCAATCCCTGTGTATGTGGGTGTTGTTTCCACACTACTAATGTAATCAATAAATATTTGGAAATTGAATCTTTAAAATGCTTGATAACTGATACAAACTTCTTATTTATTCCAATTCAACATTAGCCCAAGCCAATGTTTATCTAGATTATAAAAATCTATTAACTCTAACTAATGTCAGATCCAATTATTTTTTAAAGTTGGGAGAGGTATATTTAAGTAGGCACAAATATACTTACTTTATGAAGTAAGCGCAAGGCTTTAGACATACTCCTTTACTGTAAAAGCCCCCATACACTATGATAAATCAATGATTAAATCAGTGTTTAAAGTCAAAAATGAACAGTGATAAAAACTGTCGGGTTTTGTCTATATACTTTATGATTTATTGATGGTTTATTGTAGCATATAAGGGCCTTAATGCCACCTAAAGAAAAATCTTAAAATATTAGTGCTTCAGATATTATATTTTATACAACAGTATCAGGTTTGGTCATTACATCAATAGGTATCCCTAAATGGTGACAATGTAATAATTCAAAATACATCTGAATACGTATTTTTGAAAAATGTTTAAATGTTTAAGTTCTTAAAAATAAATATAAACTGCATATTGAGTTAGAAATGTACTGGTAGACAGCATATCAAAGTAACAATGCAAAAATTTAGTTATGATAATTGTACCATACTTAAACAATAATTATTATATATTAATTGGATGTGGTAAATCGCATATTGAAGTAGCACTAAAAATTGTATAGGTAGGTAATCTACTAAAAAGTGTTAATAAATCCTTGGTAGTTGAAAACTGACCAGATGACTGATGACTTAAACATTTTAGCTGTTAATGGTTATTTATAGAAATTAATTAATACTATTAATATCCATTGATATTTCTTAAAGAAACTTAATTTTTTTTTTTTGATTGGACATTTTGTATTAAACTTATTGAGTTAAACTTGTATAACTTGAACTTTATTAACTCAAAATTTTTGATACCTAGAACTTCCAGGGTCCCTTGAATTTCTTATTTAAACAATATAAAATATTGTAAATATTTTATGGATAACTCAAAGTTATAATTTTATTATTATGATATGGTACAATAGTTGGTTATTCTTATATGTATGTATACATCTATTGAAAGTAAAGTTTATTAATGTTATGAATACTAATAGAGTCAAAACTACTGGTTAACCATCTGATAATACCACTCATATACACCTCAATGCTCTGTCAGGGTTCAATATTTACAATTTTATGATGATTGTTTATGATATCAGTATTAAATTGAATAAAATAAAATGAAAATTCAATAACTTGAACTTTTCCGCCAGTCCCCTCCTTCAACTTCGAGTTAACCATGTCTGACTGCATAAATTAACAATTTGAATTTGTAAGAACTGAATAATGGTTCAGTAAATTAATTTTATATTTCAATTAATTACCGAATTATGCTTCAAATAAAAAGGTGCTTTTTTAAGAAAATTCCAACATTTTAGTTATGAAATATATTAAATTGGTTTTTTTAAATTCATATCAATTTATTTATTTTTTTTAATACATTTAATAGTTAAAGGGCCTGGTGCCAGTTTTTCAAATCTTCCAATTTTTTATTAATTAAAATAATTACCATTTTAAATATTTGATTTTCCAACTGATACTATCTGATACTCATTTAGGGGAAAATAATGGTGCTTTTTTTTTAATGACTTCACAGAAATAGTAATAAGCAGAACATTACAGTTCAATATTCTTATAAACTTTTTTTTTATTGATAAACAACAATCTTTAGACCACATTGAAGTCTTGATTTTTTAATTCGGATTTCAAATAATAGAAAAAGATTTTAAAATATTAAAAATGGAGTATAATGCAGTTTGTGTAATATTTTCCTCTATTAATTTAAAAAAAAAAAAAAATAATAAAAAATACAATTTGGTTTATTCTACTGAATAGTATTACTATTTCTGTAGAATGTATTTTTGTGGGCAAAAGAACATTGGCACTAAGTGCCTTAAAGAATATTATTTAGTATAGATCATTAATATTTTTTATATTATAGATTCAACTGAAGAAGAAAATTCTGCTTATCAAAATACCAGTAATGAGTCAGTGTCAGGGACTAGGCCAGTCTCTGCTGATCAGTGTGGAAAATCTAAAAACAGAAAACGTGAAAGAAAAGTGTATGCAGAACTACCACAAGTAAGTATTTGTATATAAATACAAAATTATATTAATAATAGGTTTCAAACCATGTATGTTTATGTCTAAGGATCCTTCAGATCTCAAGATTTATTAAATATATACTAAATACGAAAAGTGAATTACTACTGAGTGTCTGCTGTGCAAAAATATATAGTATTGTTTTACTAGGGTGACTCTATTTAAAAATATATATATATATATAAACAAAAAACTGGATAAACCATTTAAAGCTTTACTGAAATTTTTTTTAAAAAACAATTATTTTTATATTTCATTGTAATTATTAAAGTATGTTTTAATCAGTTTAAGATTCTAATAAAACACTTGATTGATTTGATTGCATTACTTTTTGTTGTTAGGTTGAAAAAAATTGACAAAATATTCTTACACTGACGTTTATTACTCATCAATTTTCTATTACAATCTTTTGTCATATTTTGTTTTTTGAAATGATTGCATTTCAATAATTTTGGTTTTAAAAAAATCATAAAAATTATTTTTTAGTATCATTGTTGCTTTGATAGTATAGGAATTAGAAAACAATTTTTTCATCTCCATAATACACGGTGTTTCAAAAGTCTTCATCCGATTACAAACTGATATAGTTCGGAAACGGTTAATCGCAGGTTAATGATCAATGTATTCTTGGAAAGGTTAGATAACTAAGTTTATTTTACGTTATCTAGTTGATAAATTTGGCACCCTAATGGTTAGTGAACAAGGAACCGTTAGTTTGTTTCGTTATGGCGACTCCGCAACAGAAAGCGTCCTATGTTTCAATAAGTGCGAGTCGGCAATATCTGTTCAACATGATTTTCGAAGAACTTATGGAACTGAAGCTCCTACTGCTCAAAGCATTCGACATTGGCACCAAGAAAGTGCTTGTCTGTGTGCACAGAAACGCTCAGGTCGACCTCGTACCTCTGACGAAAACATCGAGCGTGTTCGACAAAGTTTCATTCGAAGTCAACAGAAGTCTACAGGCCTAGAGCTAGATTTCCCACATTCGACCGTTAGACATTGAAGGCATACCGACTACAACTGTTACAAGTCCTTCTACTGGAAGACAAACAAAAAAGGATTGATTTTTGCAATTTCATATCCAAAAAACAAGGAGAAAATGAGTCATTTGTCTCACGCATTGTTTTTTTCGGACGAAGCCACATTTCATGTAAGTGGAAAAGTCAACCGCCATAATGTCAGGATTTGGGCTTTAGAGCAACTGTTGAGCATCAAAGAGATTCACCAAAAATCATTGTTTTCTGCGCAATTTCCAGGGAAAAAGTTTACGATCCATTTTTTTTTCTGAAAACACAGTAACGGGTTACACATATCTAAACATGTTGCAAACATGGTTGTTTCCTCAGTTACAAGCGGATAGTGATGAGTTTGTTTTTCAACAAGATGGAGCACCACCCTTGATTTCACCCTTATATCTTCATTTTTAATATAAATATAAATTTTTAAAATTGGATGAAGACTTTTGATACACCGTGTACATTTATTTAAATATTCTCTAAATTGCTGCATTAATTCCAGGTATTACTAGAGAATATTCTGCTATCTGCAAAACTTGTTAAGTATATTTAAAAAAAAAAAAAAACAATTAAGAAAACTGATTTATTTATTGCGAATATTATAATCACTTTAATAACATAATTGAAATTTTAATTATTGTGTTGTAAAAATAACAAATTAGGAGATTCTCAACATAAGGAAAAACATATTGGTTTTATTATGGATTGTTTTATGTTTTTCTGTCTACATAATAATTAAAAATTCTGAAACTTCAATCCCATTAATAAAATATAGTTTAAACCTATGTCAAATATAAATGGGTATTTTGGAGAGGCTATTATAGGGAAATAAAAATCTGTAAAATTATTTGTATGGATTTATTTATTTTTAAAATGTAAAAATAAAAACATACCATAGTTTGATGTTTTTCTTTTTTAGGATAATGGAGGAAGTACACAAGGTTGTCCACAAGCATCAAAACTATTAGATTTATATGTGGCTGAAATGGGTGAGTTATATTTATAATTTATTTGTGTTTTTATTAAGTATATTGGTGTTATACGATTTTTACTCTGGAGGGACAAGCATAAAACTATTGTAATTTATGGTGTTAAATATTTTTAAAATTTCCAATTTAATTTATCAATAAAAATAAATTTAAAACAATTTTTCTCGGTGGTATTGAATATTTGTGTTCTTATTCTATATACAAAAGCTATTAGACAGTTTATTTTTATCTGGATATTCTTAATTTCTCTACAACCTCCAGGTCTATCAAAACATACCCTTATGTATTGTTCATATTGCGTACATCTAAAATTTATATTTTTTAGCTGTATCAATTTTATACCATTTCAAAAAAAACTTAGTGCCCCTATATTTTGTATTGTAAATTATTAGTAATTATTGATTACCATTTAATTTTGAATCAATGAATCATTTATCATTATTTTATACATACCAAATTATTCTAGTCACCAGTACATAGAAAATATATAATTTATATTTTTGTAGACCAAGTACACAGTGAAGATGAAGATGAAGATTACAAGCCTCATTGGGAACTTCAGTGGAAGGTATTGATAGTTTGTTATTTATACAAGTGATGGTCTGAAATAAACTATAAAAAGTAATTTGTTTTTATTTCATCCAGAGTGTTAATGTTGGAGTAGAATTTCAAGCATTAATAACAGATGGATTTTCAACATATGGTGATGTATTGCCTTATGAAAATAATGATGAGTTATTATGGGATCCAAATGTACTTGGTGAAGATTTAATTGAAGATTATCTGATGAAGATCCAGCAAATCACAAAAGCTTTGAAGCCAAAAACTAAAGTTGTTGGTGTTCGTGACAATGAAAAGGTTAGAGTTAAAAATATAATATAAAAAAATTATATTTTTTATTTTATGGATAAAATGGAAGTTAAATAATTTCAATGTACAGTTTTGGTATTTATATTTTAAACAAAAATTAAACTATACTCTGTTTTTCATAAGAAAGTACACGTTTTGCACATCTTCTAACCTCTAGGTGTTACGTAGTTAACATTTACAAGGCTATTTGAATGTTTAAGGTTAATGTAAAGTAGTTGCAGACTACTAGCCAAATATTTGAGGACTGTAACCAAACAAGTTAAAGTGGTGGTAGATGTGTTCCTTCTTTCAAGAAACAAATAAATGTACCTCCAAAACTGGAACTATAAGTTATTATTTACTAATATTTTACTATAATTCATTTTTTTTCTTTTTAACCACCCAAAAGCTTTTATTGTAACGATTAAAAGAAATCTTTAATTATACATTATCAAAAGTGTACATAAATACTTGTGATGTATTTATATACAAAAAAAAATAAACGTGTGGAATCTCACTCCTAGCAGAGTAGCCCCGATCTTAATCTAAGAGTCTTATACTAAGAAGTCATATGGTCTTCAACGTTTGAGACACCTAATGTCTAGAGAGTTGTCTAGTAGTTGAATTGCTGCTGGATTAGTGTGTTGATCCAGTCTTATCTCATGTTTATCTTGTTTATCTTTATCTATGTCTTATCTCAAGGCGATCATCATATCTCGGTGGATAATTTCGTTTCTGTCATACCGGTTAGCTGCGACAATGGTACGGAGAGCGATGTTCTGCCAACATTGTATAATCTCAATATTGGACTTGCTGGTACAATCCCACAGTTGAATTCCATAAGTCCATATTGGTTTAATTATCATTACGTCCAGGTGCATTCCTAGATATTTTGCTGAGTCACACTGTGGGATGCTCTGCTGATCTAGTAATACCGGTTTATAGACAGTTTTACGCAAGGTGTAATTTAAGTGCACCGATTTTTTACTGTTAATTTAAATCTTCCAACGTTTCGTCCAGNAACAGTTATTGGTTGGAATGTCCGCTGTGTAGATTCAGTTCAGGATTGGTCCAAGGACGCTTTCCTGTGGTACACACACCAGTATCTTTTTCCAATCAGTTAATGCTTCTTCATGAATGACCCTGAATTCCCACAAAAACCCAGTCAGGTAGGATTCGAAAAGTGGTATGTGACAGCTGTTCACATAGTTTTATAAGTAATCATTTGTGCCAAACTTGTCAAGGAATACTCTGCAGCAATACTTTTTCTCTTCAAGCGCTTTGCTTATTACTTTAGTGACATGATGGACCTGGTCGATTGTTGAGTGTTTATTTCAAAATCCAAACTGATGTTCTAGTATAAGCTGTCCTTCTTCTATCAACGGTTTTAAGTGTTTTAGCAGTAATTTTTCAAATAATTTTGAGATGCTTGGAAGAAGCGAGAAGTTGGTCTATATGAAATTACTTGTTCTGGTGGTTTTCTTGATTTAAGTGCCATGATCACTTGGACTCGTTTTCATTGTTTAGGAATGTATTTCATACTTAAGATGGCATTGAATATGTGTGTTAGATGAATTATAGCTTTTTTAGATAACTCTTTCAGGATATTTGGGTTAATCTGATTGTATCCAAGCGCCTTTTTGGGGTTGATATTCATATCAATTTCTTTTTTGATTTCAACTAGAGTAAAGTGCTTTATCTAATCGCGTATTTCATTTAGTGGTTGACACTAAGTTATGTCGAGTTTGGAAACCACTTCATTTGGTTGAAATACACATTATAAATGAAGTGCGTATATATCTGCTTTATCAGCCTGCTCATGATCCATCTTCCATTCGGATAGGTGGTACATAGGCTTTAGGACTCTTCATTCATCTTGTAGCCTTCCATAATGAATAATCAGTGTTACTCATTGCAGAAAGTTCACTTAAGTATGAATTGAACCTTTCGTTTTTACTTTTTTAATTTTGTCATGTAAAAGTTTGCTAGTGCGAATCCAGACGTTTTTATTGGAAGGATCTCTTGTTGGGTGCCATTTTTTCCGTGCCTTTCATTTTTCTTTTACTAGAACTTTATTATTGCTGGTAGAAAAGTTGTCCGCAGAAAAAAATGAATTGACCAATATTATTAGAGTATGTTCATCATCTCACGAATTGTCTCAATATTTAATTACTCGAGTATACAATTCTTATACAATTATCATATCTTTTGGAAATTGTCAAGATTTCAGTTTGATTATATTGTACTATAGTTCATTAACACAATAAATTTGTAATATTTATACTAATTTTTTTTTAATCCATTTTAGGGTATTGATATTTCCCTTAGTTTTCTTTCTTTAGGATAAAAGAGTTTAATTATTTTTTTCATAATACAGGTCTTTTTTACTGTCCATAGCATCAAAGATAACAAATACTGTTGTATGTATTATACAAACGAATCTTTCTCTAAGTTTCAATATTTCAAACATCAGCGGACACCAGACTAATCAAAATTTGAAAATCAAAATAAGAATATTCCTTCTATTTAGTACAATTTTTTTTTATCTTTTATTATATTCTAGGAATCAAATGTTGGCAGTTTATTTTCAATTAGGAGCGGCGATAAATTTCTGCACACCCATGTCAATGATACAGATTTTATCAAAAATACGTCATCATTCTATTCAAATGACAAAAATGCCAAAAAACTAAATAAAATTATGGGACTTGGATTTAACAGATTTTAATTTTTAAAATTGATATTAGTATTAGTCAATATTAGTCATTGTTGTTAGTTCAAGAGTGGCAGAAAGAATTTCAGTTTTTTTTATATATGTATATATATTTAAGTACGCCATTAATTTTTATAATAATGGTAAATTTCCAAGGCTTTAGTAGAGTTGTTGAAGATTTTCAATCAGTTTTCAAAATTAAAATCTGTCAAACCCAAATCCCACAGTTTTGTCTAACTTATGACCTGTTTTACATGATAATTTGTATCTCCTCCAGCCCCCTTAAGCAGTGCTAATTTGCTTATAGGTTAATTTGGCACTGAAAGCAACTCTATTTAGTATTATTTAAAGGGGAAATATTAATCAAAAAATAATAAATAATGTTTTAAAATTGTTCTACTTTATAGAAAATATGTATTAATATATTACAAAAACCTATTGAAATATTAGATTTTTACTGTGGATCAGAATTCAGTTATTTTGTACAATTTATTAGTAAATGTTTTTATACATTTCAATACCTATATAAACTTGCTAAACAGTTTTATTTGAAGATAAACATTTTGAAAATGTATATGATACCTAATATAATTTATTATATTAATATTAATAATTAGGAAAACTATAATCTTACTAAATGTACATAAAATTAATATGATTGTTTTTACTAATAACATTAAAATTTTAAATAATCTTAAATTGAAACTAAAAAGGTTATAAACCATAGTATAGTAATTTAGATAATCAACCAGTGCATTTGTATGAGGGCAAACTTAAAAATAAGGTCTCCAATTGTTTGTTTTTCATAGAAAAATAATATTTATTTACATTGTTGGCTACATTGGTGGAAAGGTCATGGCTCATGAACTTTTGATTCTTAGAGCCATACAAGCTTCTGTCCAAAACATAAAGATAAGCGTTGACCTCCTCTTGCATCTTGTCAGGATTTTCATCCCTCCTAGTTGTTTCTTCAGGGCAGGGAACATGTGGAAATTACATCAGTTCTTGATCATGAAGTCACATATTTCTAATGAAATGAGACCTCTTGGTCAGCATTCCTAGTTTTTGATAGAGTGGCGAAGCGTTTGTAGTGTTTAGTAGTATCTTTCCACATTGATAATGGTTCAGAGGGGGGGGGGCATGAAATTCACCAACAATACTCCATTTCGATCCCAAAACGCTGTTACCTTAACCTTCCTGGCTGAAAGAGTTTGTTTGAACTTCTTTGGTTTTAGAGATATTGTGGGCCATTGTTTAGACTGTTGCTTCTTATGGAGGTATAATGGTGAGCCCATGTTTTATCATAATGGAGTTCAAAATATAACGCGAATTGAGTCTCTGCTACACACTCCAACTTTTTCTTCCAAATACCTGTATAAATAATAAAACTAAAATCTATAGTTACATGATGCTTTTCATCACACTTTTATAATATTTCAATATAAATATATAAAATAAATAAATACAGTTTTCTGTTTAAACACTGTTAAATTGTATTACTACTTGATAAATTGATAACAAAATAATGGTACATTAAAATAATCAAAAGTTGTGATTTATCTACTAATTTTATAAAAATAAGCTCTAACAAAAGGAGATCCATTTATAAACTCCTGGTATATAATATAAACTATGGATTTTACAAATGAATTTAGATTCTGAGTGGAGTGAAGAAGCTTATGGTTTTTCAAAGATGTTTATTTTTTCTTTATCTGTTAATGACTTATCTACAAGAAGACTTGCTCCAATTTCTAAGTATAGCACCTTTTCTGGCAGGAAATCAATGTGGGGAGGTACTTTAAAGAGATTATTTGTGTCAGGTGTTTTCTCATAAAATTTGAAAAACCAAAAGAAAAAGAAAAATATAAGAAATGTAGATATTAGTTAAAATTTATTACGGCTTTCTTTTTTTCTATGAACAGCTTTTTTTTTATCAACAATTTAGCTTGAACTTATATTGATAACAATGTTTGAAAAAGGAAATTTGGCTAGGGAAGTACTTTAAAGAGGTCATTTTTCGATTTTCTCAGTAGTTTTCTCAGAAAACGTGAAAGCATCACTATCAATTGAACTCCGCTCAGACAAAATATAACTTGAATATAAAATTATAGAGCAGCTTGTTTCTTAAATGTTCTAGAAAACAAATTCTGGAAAAATTAATACATTCCAAGATGAAGAGTGTACCCACTTGAATGTATTAATGGGTACATTAAATTATCTTTAACAATGGGTGCACCCATCCAAACTCCGCTCAGAATAGTTTTTTTCTTTAGGAATGGTTGATTGTTTTTTACAGATATACATCAAATTCTCCTCTATATCTTACTTTCCCACTTACAACAGTGGCTGTACTTGTCCCCATTATCCTAGGACAGCTTTTTTAATATAATACTAATGCCAACCATCAAATAACAAAAATCAGTAAATAAATTATTTTTCATTATAATATTTTAATTAAGTATTAGTTTTATATATCAAACTATTTTTTTATGTGTATAAAATGCACTTTTACTATTAGACTAGCTGAGCTAGTATATATACAAATAAAATAAATAATAATACAATCAACTGTGGTTTTAATTTGACTTGTATTGTTTTGGCTTGGAAAACCTGTTACGTTTCAATTTTTTATTTAATCATGTATGAAATTAAAAAATGTTTTGGATTTGAAATTTACAACTTATATAGTAATATATGTCAAGGGAGACCTGAGCAAATGTTATTCAAATTTCATTTAAACACAATACTTTTAACCACTGTATAAATATTTAAATTTTCATCCACTTTTAACTGAAAGATATATTTTTCTTTAATAATTATTAGTACTTCTGAATCATGTTGTAATTTGTTGAGCAAAATAAATTAAAATTGAATTTGTGTTAGCTTTATTATTATTGTATACATATGATTTGTAATTTTGGGTCATAGCATACTATAAATGTTTTTCTTAATTAATGTATGTTTTTTATTAAACTATTATAAATAAATTTAATTTTGATTTTTATGAATTTTATCTGTTAAAATACTGTTTTTAAATTACAATTTGTATTCCATTGGCAGGCTCTGTACTTGTTAGTTCAATGTGGTCATGATGTAGCTGAAGCTCTTCGAAGAATGTCATTAAATGTTATTCCATTGGAGAAATCATTAAGTGTTTGGTCAGAAGATGAAACAATCAAATTTGAAATGGGATTACTGATGAGCGGAAAAAATTTCCACGCAATACAAAAAGAAGTAATTAAAAATATTAAATGTTTATTGTTTTTAGTTCCTTTAATAATAGTATTAATACAAATAATTTATATTTTGAAATTTAATTCATATATCCATTGAATGTTAAAAACCATTTTAATATTTAAGGTTAAAACAAGATCAGTAGCAGAATTGGTTCATTTTTACTATTTCTGGAAAAAAAGTGACAGATTTGATATATTTGAAAGAAAACAAGTTTCAATGCGTCCTGAAATAAAGTAAGAAATGTTATTTTCCTAAAATATAAACAAATTCAGAATACTATTTCAATTTCAGAAGATTATTTTAAGTTTATACAAATTTTGGTATGTTATACAATTATTATTTTCACTTATTTTTTTTTTTTTTTTTTAATGCTGTACAATATTTAAGTATTGTTTTTGAAATCATATAACAATGATACTCAAGTTTTACGGTTTTAAGAAATAGTAATATTGTAAAATATCCAGTTACAGAAATCTAATGGTAACCAAACAAATTCATGTACATATTAGCTACATTTTTTAAAAAATTATTTGAATAAATGAAAGGAAAATAAATACAATTAACAGACCTATGGTATTTTATATTTATAGGTATGTATAACTTTAAAACAATTTTTAATTTTGGAAATATTTACAAAAACAAGTTTGTTATCAGCTAATTTATTTATTAAATAAAAATATCGGATTCCTTATTCAGAAATAAATTTACTTATAATTATCAAGAAACGCCATAGTTCTTACAAATATTCTGTTCAATGGAAGTTTGTTATATGAAAGTTTCACTGTATATATTTTTTTAAGTAAATTAAATTTTCACTGTTGTTTTTAAACATAATAATCTTACATGAAGTGGTGTTTTAAAATCTGTTTAGAATTATCTGCATTTATGAACAGCACAATCCACATTATTACCAAGAATATTAGTGTTATTCACAGTAAATGTGTTTATGGTTTTAGTTATATTTTAAGATTTTAATTAAATTAACATAATACATTTATATTCTGTAAATCTGTAAATTATAGGCAATGGCAACATTTGGAGTCAGAAGAAGATCAAGACAGTGACTTTGATAGTGTGTTTCAAGAAAATACCCAGGAAGACAGCGAAGACAGCTTGAATGCTGCTGAAAATAAGGCACAAATGAAATGTTTAATATACGCTGATCGCAAAAGACAAGTACGAAAAAAGGCTACAAATAATGCTTCTATAAATACTAATACAACTACTTCTAATACTATTACTACTACCTCTAATACTATTACTACTGTCACTAATACTACTAATACTAATTAACTATCAGTGCACCCCTTCAGGTACACTTATGAATCTTGAAATATTAATTTATAGAGTCTATTTTGCTTCCCTTTTCCAGATTGAGAAATAATAAATCATCCAAAAATTGTGTTATACCGTCAATTTAATACAATGTAATAATTGTTCACTATTACATAATGACTGACACTTCGAAACTGTTTGAGAAATCTGTATCCAAGTTACGCATATTAACCCATTCAAGTTTCACTTGGAAGTATATACTTCAGTAATAATTAAATCTGAAATACCTACCAGACTAAATTAAGTTTACATCTTCATTATATTTTATTTCAGAAATGGTAAACCAGGTTTGCATAAAATTAATTTTAGAATGTAATTTAAATGATATAATTATAGTAATTTAAATATTCAATTGGAGATAAGTTAAAACCTGAATGGGAGTTATAGATAGGATAAGAATAACTTATTAGTTTATTAAAGGTATTTAAATTCTATTTCATATTATATGCTGAGTATTTTTTACATAATTTAATTTAATTGTTTTTAATAATAGCATCTATTTGGGTCTTGCCACATTAAACCAGTTATGTCATATAGCTACAACTTTCTGATTTCACCATTTTTCTATAAAACATACAGTATATACTGTTATAATATGCATTTCTAAAATAGTACACTTCTACTATACTATTACTACAATTGTGCCTTTGTTCACTGTCTGATACAGTTCCAACGTGTGATCAAGAACACTTGGATTCTTATCACACACATCATATTTGATGGGTGAACACTCTGGTTTTCAAGTTTGAATGGCAATTTTGATTACCTATAATCATTATAGGTTAATATGAAATGTCATAAACAAGATAGAAAGAAAGATTCTATTATATGGTGTTAAAAATATTTTTCAAGTCCAGGAATTTTAATTTTAGGTATTTACTTAAAATTATTAAATAAAAATAAATAATTACACAAATCTTAAAAATATCCAATAAATATATAAACACAATACAATTTCTACAGTTTACTAATTCAGCTCAGTTCACTGCCTATATCATAGTAGTAGTGACACCCACCAAAACCACAGTAAGATGATTTAACTGGTCTGGTGTAGTGAGACCTTAATATTTTATATTATCATTATTCAGACTCTTTTAAAAAAAGACTGAAATTAAAATAATAATTAAATTATAATTATGTAAATAGTTATTCATACAGTTATGCTTAATATATATATATATATAAATATTTTTTTTTCAAGTCCATTATGTTCTTAAAAAAATGTAAATTAAATTATACATTTTTATTTAAACTACCATACAAAATATATTGGATGGGCTGCTATGTTTTCCTGTTTTATTTTATAAACAAAACAGAAAGTATGGAAGGTTATTTTATGTATTAAATTAAATGGAAAAATGCATAAGTTCCTTGAATTTCTTTAATATTGTTAAAAAAAATACATTTAATATGATTTCAATTAAATATTCATAATTACTTAAAGAAAAAAAAAACTAATAATACTTTTATTTTTATTAATAGTTATTAATAATTAGATTAGAAGGTCTGCATTAGTTAAAACTTAAATAAATTAAAAATATATGCATTATTAGTTTCCATATCTACCTATACAATTTATAATAGTTTCTTATTAATCTCAATCGTTTTATTATTAAGGATATTAAAATTAATTTTATTTAACAGTATTTTAAGTTAAATAAATTTAACTAAATATTCCTATACAATAAAACATTTTGTTAATATAGATATAAACATTCCTTTAAATTTAGTAAAAATAAATACATAGTATGTTTTTGAAATAAATTAATAATTTGATTTTACATAAAATATAAATGACTTGCTATTTAGTCTATTTCTTTTTATTCAATTCCTTTTGTGGCCTTATCCAAGTGATGTAATGAATTTTTCTAAGACAAACAATTGAATTAACTACAATCTCTTTATTAATTACTTCCTATCAAATCTCCTTTATAACAACATCTATTCTTCTTACTCTTGATCCTTTTTAATTTCAAAGTCACAGTTGCTTTGCTCCTTTATGGCCCTTTCCATACTACTGTTCTCAAATTTAATTTGGAGCACAAGTATTTGTTCTTAATATTTAAATCACGTCTTTCTATATTCATGAATAATATGTTTATGTATATACTTTATATTTTTATTATTATTTTTAATTTGTCTCTCTTTTAGTATTTAAATACCTAGTTGGTGAACTATTACTTGTAATTTAGGTTATGTTCATATAATAAATAAATACATTAGTTAATAAATATTCAATCAAAATTTAAAAAAAAAATACAATAATAATTGTTTGGGTATGTAGAATTTGTATTAAAGTTTACATTTCTTATATAATTAAATCAAAAATAAAATTTATTCAATAATACAGGCATCCTTTTAGAATTATTTTTATACTAAGTTACTTTATCTTTATCACTCTTGCATCATAATAAAATCCTTGATAAAATAATACAATTACAATAAAATCGTATATCTCAAAATAATCTGAACATAATAAAGAAATAAAAACTAATTGTGCTAAAATTACATGCTTAATATAATCTCATACAAATTATTGAATATATTCAGGATTATTTATTTAAATGATATTATATTACTGGTGATGACTTGGATCATCAGTACATATACATGGACAAAACCTTAGTAAAATATATTATGTCCGACATGTTCAGCAGTCTGTTCAAAACTAATTTTGGACAAACCATTTTGTTTAAACCATATAGGTAGTAGCCCTATCCAAATTATCTAAAGATTCAAGGATGATTTATTATCACCATGAATGTATTTCATATAATATTATATTAATTTAATAATTGATATTAATAATAATAATAATCAATATTAAGTATACTTATAAATACAGATTATTAATAGTGTTACTAGTGTATTGATATATTTGAAGCCACTAGTTATTGAAAATATGATTTATATTTATAGTCCTTGTTTTACAGATTAACTCAAATATTTTTATTTAATCTTGAATTGTATTCCAATAGGTTTAATACTAATATATTACATTATATTTTATAAATGTCATAAATTAATAATAGTTTAATAATGTTGCAAGATTTTCACCAACACCATCTCAATGTTATAACATCTGTTTAGTGATACAAATATTATTTATCATTCATAAATTACATCTTGTTATGTAATCAAGAATGTTGGTCAACCTTAACTAAAAATTATATTTAGATAAAAGTATATATATTTTATTTAAAAAAATAACTTACTTTAAATGGCATTAAAATATTGTTTAAGTTTAATTTTTTAATAATTAAAATATTGTTTAAGTTTAATGTTTTAATTATTAAAATATTGTTTAAGTTTAATTTTTTCATTATTACTATATGTTTAGTTAATGTATTTTGATTCATGATGACTATTTCATTTATGTCTCTGGCATATTATAATTTGTTATGTTTAAAAGTACTTTAAAATAAATGTAAATAATATTATATTATATTTTGAAATATTACAATAATTATTATTCTTTATTCTACATTCTATTAAATGTTGTATAAATTTAAGTTTTTGAACCCTCTTTACTATTCTGTACTGACAATCCAGGTTAAGTGAAAAAGTCAGGCCAGTACTTAAGTTCAGTATAGAAAAACAATTTATAATCAAAAATGTTATTGTTTAAGACTTAAATTTTATGTATGTTTTATTAAATATTATTTTCATTATGCAAATCTATAAAATTAATCCAATACCTAATTCTATGAATGTTAAATATTTAGTACCTGCTTAATGTTCCTTTTTTTTTTTTTTTTTTTTTAATTCACCCGTTATTTGTTTATTTAACAAACGGCATTAAAGTTTTTATAACTGTTAAATGTTTGTTACTACAGTGTAATTTTATATGACAAGTACTATTATAAAACTACTAAAAATTTAATTCCATACTTTGTATAATATTTAAATTGTGTATCTTTTATATTTAATAATATTAGACTCAATAAATATAATAGATTCATTGTATTTTATATCAAATTATATTAATTGTAGAATTGTAGGATTGATAATATTTTCTTCAATCAATCACATTTAACAATATTATAACTTAAATCAAATTATAATAATAAATTTTGTCATTTAATTATTTTCTTACTGTTTGTATTGGATTATAAAAATGGTTTATTTTATATTTCTAAATAATATTGTTTACAGAGTAAAACCGTTGTATTTAAATTTAACATACACCTTATTGTAGCTATTAGATGTAATAATATATTCAGCATAAATATTAATTTTTATTGTCTTTTGATTGTGTTCCAATACCATTAATAAGCCTGCTGAAAGTTCTAAGTGCTAAAATAAAATATTATGTACACAAATTATAATATATTATTATCTACAATTCACTTGGACCCATTTGTTATTTGCGTTAAACTATAAACAATGTGTATGTAACATTATTCCAATATTTTATATTTTAAATGTAAAGCTTAATTATAACTTAGGATATTGGCTATGTTTAAATTAATAGGAATTTATTAAAAGGGTCCCAAGTTGCATATTTGACCAAAATAATATTATATTTATGGTAAATAATTTATCTTCTAATGAAAACAAATTGATGATGTTATGAAAAACCTTTTATAATCCCATCTTGTTTATATAAAATTATTTGTATAGCTTTTGAGATACCTGCACATAATATTTTAAAATGAAACTTATGTCTTATGATCTCGACTTATGAAACTATTAATAGCAAAATTATCTCCTTAAAATTTATTAAAAATGTGCATAATATGTTCCTTTACAAATTTCTCATTCAAATACAATTTTGATCATTTTGTATGAATTTAATAATATTTCTGGAAGTTCCATAATATGATTTCAATATTAAATTATATTACATTAATTCATTATATATTGTTTTTACTGTCAATTAAAAAATTATCTTCTAACTTTGTTATACTATATTTTAATAGTTATAAAAAGTCCCATCTTCTTTTCTAGAGTACCCGTGATTAGTTTGTGAAATATGACTTCCGGCTAATCCAAGTTTAATACTATTAATATCTTTCCCTTCACCAATGAGTCCACCCATTTTCAACGGATGATTTCTAAAAATCTTTTCTCCATTATGGTCTGGTCGGAAAATATTTATTTGTTTCCTATAAAAAAAAAAAAACTTTAGTAAAAAATTATAATTATAATACATAGACATCACAAATAATAATATTAATGTAATACAATAAAAATATATTCCTAACTTAGAATTTCCAGCACAATGGAAAATTTATTGATTTTCAATGATATGTAATTTTTAATATTTTATTTTTCATTAACAACAAAATGATGATATTTTTTTTACGTTATTTTATTTTAAAGAACGAAAGTAAAAATTACCCTTCACGTCTTCACAATAATTATTGTCTTGCATTTATTTTATTTTTTACCAGTTTTTACTATAGATAGGTACCCTTAAATTTAATTATTTTAAACTACAACTATTAAAAATAGTATTTTAATGAAACACAATGGCTATGATTGTTCTCTTTTATATACCTACTAAACAATTATTAGGAGCTGTTGCCAATATTTTTATGTTGTATACTTGCTATATACACCACAACACAAGTAATGAAGAAGTTAGGTTAGGAAGAAGTCTATACTGACAATGATAGACATGTTACAATAGGTTTCATATATTATAAAGAATTAATTTATGAATAAAAATGAATATATTTTTCTATTAAGAATCCTTTAAAAAATAAAAAATGTCTTCTGTATTATGCATTGTTGTCTACAAAGAGGAGTTTACTTGAAAATATTATAAGAGAAAAAACAACTGGGACTCCAGCCATCCCCCCCCCACAAGTTCAGAGACAAATGAGTACAATTGAAAACTAAGAAAAGTCTGGGGGCTAATAATTTAACTTCTAAACTGTATTTACCTAACCTACCTAGTGTTAGCACATGCAATGGTGTACCACTTACAATTTTGAAAACTATACATTATTATTTTACTACAACATAAAAATATTTTATAAATTATTAATATATCTATGTATATATTATAAACTATGAATGCATTCATATTTATTTTAAAGACGAGAATAAAAATTATTTTTATAGTATTAAAAAAATATTTGATTCAAAAAGTTGAGAAAAACAATTATCATTGCCCTTATGTGACATTCGGCTGTCTAATCATAAAACAAAGTATGTGCATTCTTATTCATTATTTATGTTTTGTTATTATTTTGATCGAAATTGAATTGCGCAGATTTTTGGAGCCACACTTTTGGTGTCGAATTATTTAAATTCTCTTTGGAATTAATCTTTGAAATCTCAATATCCCATACGGATAGGTGTACCTATAATATGTCCCACAATTATAGATATTATAGGTATATCTATAATCGTGACTATTCCTATGTTAGACCAATTACTATGTAAAATGTGTGAATTGTGACTTACTGCGTTTTATGAATAGACAGCCGTTGTACACAATACGCAACAGCAGTGGTCACGGGCAAATACAATTTTCGTACCAGCCGCGTGTGTGCATTTGACCGTTTCATTCCCACACCCTAGTTTTTCTTCCGGACAATGTCCATTCTCACCCCTCTGGAGAAAATGTGAAGAATAATAAAGAAATATCTAATTTTGACACATCATGGTAAATGTCCTACCTACTCTATTTACAAAATCATTTTTCCCGATGGAAATCAATAATTGCCTGAATAATTTTGTTAGGCACCGGTGACGATAAACATTGAATACCAAAAATAATATCAAATAAATTCCTATTTCATTAGTTTACTGTGGCAGTGTACTTATTACTTTACTATCTTCTAAACGGTGAAGTGTGTTGACTGTAGTTCAGCAGTTGTGTTACAAGTACTTGCAACAGATTACACACATCTGATTGCAATTTGTATTTTGTACTATATAATGGAAAAATAAAATTATAAATATATATATATATTTTTTAAATTAAATCTAATTTGATTGACAACTGCCCACTGCGATAACTCCAACCTTATGGTGTGTTAAAGAGATTATTAGAGTTCTTTCGGTATGTTTTTAACTTTTAAACTGGGTTTAGGAATGAATGCATCATAATATTATATAGGGTGTAAGTATATTATATTTTTTTTTTTCTTGTGAATTTGTATAACCTAACCCAACTACTTTGCTTATTTGTATCCGCCTAAATTTAAATTTGTTCGGGGATGGGGGATTAAATTATCCATTATCTTTTGTTATAAACATTAGCATCTTGGAAATAAAAAGCAATAACGTTTGATGGAATGTCGGCGATTTGATGACCTTGGGTAGGTACCTATATAATTAGAAACGCCGGGAGTCGGAATACTTAGGAGGTTAGGTTATGTTCGGTGTGGTTCTCACTTCAGGCACAGCATAAAAGTCTCCTTTTGCTTGCACACCTGTTCGGCCCCGGGGAACGTGAGACCCGAATGACTGTAAACGGACAGCAGTGCCATGTCCAGGCTGTCGGTGACCACGTCTACCTCGGGCACCCACTGGACTGACCGGTGTTCACTGGCCACTGTGTGTTTCCGGTGCAACATTTTCAACTGAAACGCATATCGTGATTGCATAAAATATTAAAATATTAAAATATTAAAATATTATTAATAAGGCGCCTCTACACGTCACAATTGGTTTTCAGCGTCTACCTCGCGCGTTATACGAGTAGGTATAACAACAAATACATTCCGCATTTCAACGATTGCGACCCACCCCGGGTAGAAATGTTTAATTGCAAAAATGGTGTGCGGACACCGTGTCCATTGCAGGGCTAATGGTGTCCAGGCGATGCGTTTGGTGTCTTAAGTGGACCCATTCTGGACGACCACCGTTCAACGAATGGCGTCTGTGAAATTTTACTGCAGTTACGTGCGACGTGGCAAATTTCGCGTTCGGTTGGACAAATTTCGCGCCGTTAGTTCTGTTGTTCAAGCTAATTGACATGTCATTAAACTTGAAAGTCAGAGGATCATAACGTGCGGCCTGGGCCGGTAATGTTGTTTTTTTTTTCCCGATATTTTGATTTTTAAGCAGCGCATACCTAATCATAAACAACTTCATCGCCCCGGACGCATTATATAATCTTCTTACCTTTAAGTTTGACTATAAGACAATTTGCTCCGATATTATAACCAACGACACCGATGTGCCCAAGTGAACGCACATTTACTGCGTCTCGCGTTTATAAGACGGAGACCGGGTACTGATGCCAGTGGCGGCGTCGTCACGAGTTAGAATCGAATAACTGTGACCATCGAGAATACAGAATTATTTATTACCCAAGACTGGAAAACGTGGACGCGGACATAATATTACCCATTCGTATTATTGGTAACGGTACTCGTAGTACGATTTGAAAAACTAATAATACTCTCGTCAATAATTAATAATATTATACATAAATACGCCGTGCTGTTATAACGCGCACAATATTATATTATAAATACCAATTTGTTTCGTATTAATGAAAAATGCACGCTAGAAACATGATCGGTTTTTTTTTTTTGGTTCTCTCTCTGTATAAAGTGTTCGTTTGGTGTACTCGCGTAACGGTATTACAGACCCGTAGATACGTACGCGCATAAATGTATACAGCGGGGTTCGGGAAAACAGGCAAGTGGTGAAAAAAAAACAACAACAATATACTCATTTCAAATATTATGACATAAAACGTAACTGCTATCGGAGTTAGTGCCGCATAATATTGTACAGCACCATTATAACAGGCGCCTACGCCGCATTTCATTACCGTTGACCGTGTGACACAGTCGACGGTAATATTTTTAATGTTTTCGCGAGACCGAATTCTCGGGGCGCGGGTTATCGAGATCCGCGGCCCGCGGTCAGAAGTAACAACAAAAATGACCACTAGTGTAGTGTAAATACGGAATATATATAAAAAAAAAAAAAAATCTACTTGAAATAAACATATGGCTATAGCATGAAACACGGTGGAAAAATAAACTGTCTGAATGTTTCGTCTCGAAATACAGTTGGAAAAATGAAATTTCGATTTATGCGTGTAATGATTTATAATTTATTTTTAAAAACCAATAGGCACGTTGCCCCGTTATCGGCGTATTATAAAATTGGTCACGCGAATTAACAGCGCGTTACCGTATCCATGCACGGATACAAATATTGGCTGGAAATTCTGGATAATAAATTAGGTGCCGTGGGCAATAGCGAAAACGGTGAAAATCCGAAAATGATCCTGCGACGCCGTAGTAGGGTACGCCAACGCCTGGTGCGACGTTGACGCGGTGGGCGGGCGGTAGTTGCAACCAATACAAAGCTGATCGCGGGCGAAGACGACGCGATCGCGAACCGCCAAAATCTCGCCCGTTGAACACAACCACGCCGCCAAGTGCAGCCGGAACAGGTACAAACAATCACGTAAACGCGGGCCCGACAGCTGGACGGAACCGCGGGACTTGGTCGCGGCGGATTACCGCGAACAAATTGAAAATGTTCAACGGCTCCGCTAAAGCAGCACGGCCGCGGAACTCTATCATTATCATAAACATCAACGGTGAGGGGGGGGGGGTACTTTACAAACAAATGAAAAACAAAAATTATTATAGTCTGTAAACTGTCGACGTTTCACCGGAGAACTCGAAACAGATAAAATCCCCTCGTATATTTGATCAAATCCGTCACGTTGACATGCGCCCGTGCGTGCGGCAATTGAAAATAAACCGCGACCGTTCGATTCCCGGGTTATGGCATAATGAGATAGGAACGGGCACAACATAATAATAACAATGGGATTTTAGAACAAGCAATTGAAATCCAAAGTGATATTCGTTTGTGTACATATTTGTCATCTCCGATGCGACGGACAGTATAGAAAAAAAAAAAAAAAGGCTGGTACCTGTTACGGAGGAAAAAAAAAACTATAAAACTCTTTTGTCCAAAATTAAGAAAAATATAATGGGAATATCAAATGCCCCGAATGGATGCAAAAAAAGTAACCGTATGATATTACAAATCTGTAGTAACGATGAACAATAATCGCGCATAAAATAGTCACACCGAAATCCTGGGGAAATCGTCGTTGCATCCTTTAACGAAAAAAACCGAAAAATACATTACAGTTACTGCGAACGCCCGCGGTTAACATTATTACGACATTAGATTTGTGCAGCGCCTGAAACGGCGCGCAACACGACACTTGAGAGTGCAGTACGAAATCGCACTGATGCGGCAGGAAATTAACAAGCGCGTTGATTATTTGAACGTCTGGTATGTTGATGATTACCGATGAATGGTCAGTACATACCGTGTAAATGAAGTTGGAAAAAAAAAGAAAATTATTTTTATGTTATTATTCGATAATTGAATTTTATCCAGTAACATTACAAGCGCAAACGTTTTTTATTTTCCTGTTTTTAAAGTTGAATGAGGCGTGCGTTTATAAAAAAAAAAAACCGTGCAGTGCGACGTTACATTTGTTTCGGGGCCCTGATATTTCGTTATTCGTATAACATAACAGGTACAACATACCTACGGTTGTTCGCCGTCCGTGTCGTGCGTGTGTGCGGGGGCGTACCGTTTCGACGACAAATCCGTTACGATAACGTATCCGAAAACGGATACCGTTCACTCGCGACAGCGAGTGAACGGTACGTCCCCGGGCAATGTCGAACTCGCGTGTCCGCAACGTATTGTTCCGTGCGAAATCGTTTCGGCGGCGCGGTATGCGCCGTGCACCGCGCGTGCCGTATGCACGTACGAGCGGCCGGTACAGGGTGACTGTTTTTACGCGCGCGCGCGCGCGCTACGTAATAGTAATTAAAATCGCCGCAACAATTTATCGATATAATGGTGTGTGTTTTTTTTTTTCTCTCTCATTTAATGTTTCGCGGTCTCGTGGAACACAATACACATTTGGCAGAAGCAGATGCGTCGGGTTGTTCTGCGTCGGCGGACGGTCGACGAACAAATATAACGGCGAATGGGTGCAGCACAGATGATGACAATTGGTGCTTTTATAGGCGGGCGGTTGGAGCGACCGGAGAAGAAATGGATATTGAGAAACGAGTACCAATGTAGACAAGAGACGGGGCATCCTATAGGCGTGGCTACGGCAGTAGAAAAACGAGAGAAAACAGACCGAGACACGGTTCGGGCGTACCCAGTACGCGAACGGCAATTAAAATAAACGTAGGAACAGGAAGGCCGAGAAAGGCGGTTGGATACGACCGAGGATGTGTGGCACATGATACATTATGAGGGGATACACGAATACAATCGGTGTACGCGAGATGGGAGATCGGGCCAAGTGGAAGTTTAGGGCGAGGTTGACCGATCCGAAATAGCTGGGATGAAGGCGAATGAGGGGGGAAAGCGTGTTTCGCGGTCACTTAGACTTTAGAGCGCTTTTTAAAAAAAAAATAATTAACTCTAATCCTCTGTAATGTATATTATCGTTTACGCGATGAAACCGCTAACAATCTTAAACGATTTTCAACCGGCAATAAGTATTATTTACACTATATTATATTTCTTATATAAAAAAAAATCCTATTCTCGTATTGAAAATTCATAAATGTTTTGTCCCGAAAAAATTCGGTAACATTGAATATAAATTAACGATGCTAATCGTTCGCGGGACTTGGAAATGATTTAAAATTTAACGTAAACAATAATACGGTCTCTGAAATAATATAATTTATACGTTAGTATACGATAACATCACCCTGTATATACCAACCAATAGTATTTGTATTATGCACGTATTTACATAATTATGTACAGTATATATGAGGGTCGTTTTGTTGCTAAGGGACGCCGCGATGGCCTTTATTTTCACAAAAACTTTGATCCGACAAAATGACAGCCGTCAAGCTGACGACCGTTTGTCTTTTGCCCGCAGTGTCTCAGTCGTATAATATACTATTATAGTGTTATATTATACCTATACAAATGTGTATGTAATATTGATTGTTATGAAAAACCAAGGCTATGAATCGATTCAAAACGACGGTGAAAACGCCGTTTATTCGCGTTTTCATTAGGTACATGATCGGACGTATGGGCAGGAGCGAAATTTCAATTAAAAAACAAGGGACCGACATACACTTCGCACGATGGGTGCAGCCACTGTAGTTGTTGAGAAGTTGGGAAAGTAAGATGTATGGGGGAAATTAATTTGTATCTGTAAGCAACGATAAAATACCTTCCAAGTCAGATTTCCTTTTAGAAAAAGTGCTATCATTGTAAATCGGAGCAAAAATGATAAAAATATCGTAGTATTTTACTAATATATTTCGTACATTTTCCTGTTTTTTTTTTTTTTTTACACTTTATTCCTTTTATTAGAAAAAATGCTGAGAAAATCAAAAAATGGGCTCCCCAAGAAAATTTCCTTTCAGAAAAGAGTCCACATTGTATATACATCGGAGTAAGCTTTTCGGTATAAAGTGTTCACATAAAAAAAAAAAAGAAGGAAAAAGAAAGAAGATTTTTTCCTAGATGTGCTGAAGTCCCCTAGGAAAAACTAACCTCGTTTATACAAACAAGAGATCTAAAAAATATA